TATATAAGTAAACGACCTTGATGATGCCATCACGAACAAGGACACAGGACTAACTCAATTTGCGGATGATTGTGCAATCTACCACAGCCATAAACAGATCCCCTGCGCTAAGAAAAGATTGCATAAAAGTCTAGACGAAGTTGCGCACTGGATGGGAAAATGGGGATTTAAAATCAACGTCGACAAAACAGTAAGCATGATATTCAACTTTAAAAGACAGCCTAATTATGACCCAGAAGTAACGAGACTCCAAATTAATGGTAGAACAGTTCAGCGGACACGTTCGACGAAATTTCTAAAACGCAAACAACAAATTACTGCAAACAAATGTTTAAATGTAGATAGCAATAGAGACATCCAAAAACTGGTTAAACAATACCTTTTTAAAACAAACCCAAACTAAAAAGACCAGATTAAGGATCTACTCAGTATAACAGAAGGAACTGATAAGATGGTAACACCGCACACCCAAGAGTCAGAGAGGTAGTGTAAGTATGATGAGTGCATAGATGTGAACTTGGATACATACACAAGGATGAGTGAGTGTAGTATGAGTGCATTTATGGATACAGAAGACACAGTGTATGTAGATGGATGGTAAGGGATCACGTATGAATAGGACAGTGGGAATATAGCTGGACGAAAGGTACAGATGAATGAGTACATGGATATAAAAATTTAATTACTGTATGCATGTATATGTGGGTATGAGTGTGCATGTGTGTATATATATGGGAGCGTGATATTTGTGTGTATGAATGACAGTGCACTCAAAGAACCGACATATTGTGTTGCTGCAGGTCTGTTAATTAATGAGAACATGGAATGAGGTGTGTACGCAGCAAGAAGGTCATCAACACACACCATCCATCAAAACATGGTAAGACAATACCGGGCAGGTCACATACAAGTAATGACACATAACTTAAAAGTGACACGACCAGACGATACTACAGACATAGCGACACAAAACACACAAGACATGGAAGAGTGAATGTCACTACGTGTGGATGTGCTCGCATATAAAAGAGTTTGCGTGTGTACGTAATGTCAATTAGGTATGCATACATGGATAAGTATAAAAGGGCGTGCAAATATGTAGTGTTGTCTACGTGTATGAGTACTCGAGTGCATGTACGCATACACCTAGTTGGGTGCGTCCATGTCCTCGGGTATTCATACACAAAACCATACCATTCAACAGCATGCATACAACATGCACATGACCGACAGGACTCACAACAAGATACGACTGACAGCAAATAGGGAAAACAAGTGACTCAATAATGACAGGACTAGAACACATAACCACCAATACCACCCCATCACTGTGATGATAGCAAAGGTTGGTAACGAGATACACATAGTCCCGGCAAAAGGCCACGCTAGAATCCAGCAAGACGGCAACGACGAGAAATGACTGAATGGCCTCCCGCCCCCTTTCCCCTTACCCTTCCCTAACTTTCGGATGCACTATGAGTTTAACCCCCCAACCCATTCCCACAGAGAGCACTTGAGTTCGTTGTCCAACATGCCACAGCAATTCTCATCGCCGAACATTTGGATCTCAAAGCGTGAGCTGGATGCTCCGGTTATATGGTATTTACGTATACCGGAGTTTAGCTGTCAACACAACCCGACCACATAATAACAGATGACTACTGGACCCGCTTAAGGCTCAACATAAACTCTCACATACATATCCATTACATGACTAACCCGTTCATATTACAGGAAGACAACTATAAGACCACTATGGTCACACGCGGAACATTTTCACATTTCGGAACTATTCAAATTCAAAACTGTTTCCAGTACTTTTTGGCATAATTTAAATACTCAAAATTTTAAAACAATAAATGGTGGTCCAAAGGACGTTGTGTATGGAAGCTCGCTCTTCTTCGAGATACGCCTAGCCAGATCAAAGGGAGACAGAATAAACAGGAAACACCAAGAAAGAAGAAGGAAGACATGCACCAGTGACAACAGGACGAGCGGTTTGATTGGGATGGAAGCATCAAGCCCAGAAATGGCACAAACACTAAAATTCAGTCACGAAAGTGACGCAAATAACCCAGACCACAAATATAGGCGGAGACTGCTAGTAGCCTAGGCTAGCTAGCAGCAGTCTGAAAGTGGTCGAGCTTTTCTTTTTTTTTTTTTTCTCAAAAGGACTTGGACTTGGACTGGTGTCATTGGAAATTGAACTCTTCGCTTGTTGCTGAAGATGAGGACGGAGCGCTTAAGGAAGTGCCCGAATGATGTGATGTTGATTCCTTATTCAACATTTTAGGACAAGTACATAAATTTTAAACAAAAAAGTGTTTGGCCGTTTAATGTGAATTTTTTCCCGCAGATGTAAATGCGTTGTGCCCGTTAAAACATGGATGCGATAATTGTACCTTTCGGCCGACACATCCGATTTCTGCAGGCACCATATTAGCCTTCTTGGATTTAATGAGAATGAATGTAATGATTCCAGCAATGTGATTGCACAACGTGAAAGTAAGCAGCCAATTTGCTACCGCAGCGATAATACAACGCCCATAGAACCAAATCTCACCAGTATTGTTGAATCACCTTCGTCTCGTCTATACGTGTCCGACTGTGTGAAGATGAAAGAATGACTTGCGCGGTGACTTGGATTAAAGTGAAGAAGAGTTGCGCAGTGTCGTCGACCTCACTCTCTCGCCTGAGTCATTTCTGGGTCCAGTGGCAAGACAAGAGTCAGGACGACTGGAGATATGTCTATGTGCAGTGGATGACCATGTCTATCGTACAGCTTGAAATCCACAACTATGGAATACGGACATAATTCATTTCAACCCATTGAAATGGCACCATAGGTTACAGAAATTTATATCAACGAAGCAAGTGTCGAATAACAATTGGGGGTGCCTAGTTGACCATGTATCTTAGTGCACTTGTATTTATGGCAAGGCGCAGACGCCGTCTGGAGGTTACAGGTTCAATTCCCGACACGGTAACAATAGCTTTCGATTTTTATGTTGTCTAGTTTGTTCTTCTATCTTTCTACTTCTTTCTATGAGTGCCGATCACAATACTTCCTGTTACTTGATTAATGCAGTGGATGACCAGGGCGTTCTAAGTGCCTCGTTTTGCATGTACATCCATTTTACAGACTGGCTTATTTGGATGCAGACTGTTGGTTTCTTGCCTCTCAGACAAAATGGATTCCGACCTCAAAAGAAACAACCCTATTTAGTTACTTTTAGGACATGCTTGGGAAGGGGGGAGGGGTGGGGTGGGGTTAGTGTTTGTTCTTACTTTCTCCAAAATGGGGTGAGAAATTACATACAACATATACTGTTCTGAGCTACCCCACAGCTCTACAACTCACTTGATGTGTATGGTGACTTTCAATAATGATCTCATGTGCATGCTTACTTTCTATCAGTTACTGTTTTCAATTCTCACTTACTTTTCATACATTTCCAATAAAATCACTGAAATAGGTTCACCTAATCACCCCTCACATTTCTCCGTCAACACAGAAACTTGTCCTAAACCAACAGCAATTGGCAAAACAAAAAGCATATACCTCTGGTAAATATATATTAATATAAAATGCCAAACAGGAAAATAGCTGCAACCTCTTAATGGTAAAACCAATTTTAAGTCACAAATGTAAATCCTAATCATTCCTCTAAGGAAAGACCATGGCAATGAAAAGGGGAACTAAGTATATAATCTCAAAACATCTGACAACAAGCAACAGTAATGCAGATTTCATCAGGAGGAAATCACAGGATATTTTTTTTGCTTATAAATCTTAGCTTTACACAATTTCAGAACACTAAAATTTATAATCAAAAGGATTGACTTCATTCCACTGGGTTTTATCCCATATGCCTCAGTCTCTCTGTGTAGAAAGGCTAGTCACCTGTTGAGAGCATCACAAAAAGCATGAACACTGTAGCTCCAGTGATGATCCCCTGGAATCTCCATAAAAACTGCACTCACGAACGTATGTGCACCCATGAAACAAAAACTTTTGGTGAAAGGCAAACCGCTTGACCATTCTGCTATCGAGAGCCCCTAAAAAGGGGTTTCAAGACAAAAATATTGTAAAGCAATCTTCTTCATCTTTGCATTCATCAGCTGTAAGCTGCGCTGGAAAGTTCTGGTTTTTCGTCCACTTCTGGACTTTAGCCTTGTCCCAGAACCTGAGTTCTGTGTGCACATTTGTTTTACAGATCTAATTTTGTGTGTGTGTGTGATGCAGACTGTTAGTTTCTTGCCTTCAGGCAGACAGTCTGACTTTAAAGGAAACGGCACCAATTATACACTTTTAACAACTTGCACTTGTTAATGAGCAGTGGGTCTATTCATTCACCCCCCCCCCCCCCCCACAATGGGGCCCTGGAACCCACACAGTGAGTAAAGCAATCTATACAAATTATATCAATGAAAATACAAACTAAAGATAGTCAGTGCTACTGCCGTTCTGGGTGTACAGTGTTCCTTCATATGTTTTAGGTCATGAGGTGAAATAGCCAGCTCCCTTCCTAGTCACTTTTCTTTACAAGGAAACTCCAAGAACACTAAGAAAATGGTATGGTACCCAAACAGAACCCTAGATTCTCATGTGAGTGGCCCAGGTGCGAAACTTCCTACACTAACAAAATTACTGTCATCAAACTGGATCTTTGTTATCACTGCAAAGTACCATTCAGATAGGTAGCCGCAGCAGCGCAGAGGCCAAATGGTTGCCTGTTGACCCGAAAGTCTTGGGTTCAAATCTGCATCACTGCAGATTTTTTTAAATAATTGATGTTAGCTCCCAGGTCAACCCAGCCTAAAACCGGTACCAAGAAATCTACTGGGAAGCAAAGGTGGCTGGCATGAGTTGATCACATCACTCATCAACTGGTGACTGGTCTTTAAAAATATGAGCTTAACATCACATGCCCTATGTGCCACTGATGTGAAAAACAGTACTTTACCTTTGTTGTACCCACCTTTCTGATAAGCGCCCTTTATGTTTTTGAAAAGAAAACGGTTAAAGGCTGAACAGATTTGTCCACTTTTTTCTTTTTACCTCCTTTTTTAGCATTTGACGGGCTGCTAGACTTTCGCTTTATTGCTGGAAGACTTGTTGCTTTGGTAGCTGTGCTTGTCATGCTGCGACCTGAGAAAGCTGCTGCTGAAGAGGCATCGTTAGTCTCTTTCTGCAGTTCCAGCGCAAAATGGAAATCGCTGTGTTCAGGCATTTCCCAGATTGGAATAAGCTCCCCACATTTATCACATTCCATAAAGTCATCAACGTTCATGGATACATTAGAACTACAGTGAGTATGATCAGCGTCCATGTCATGAAGGTCTTCAGCTTCAATAGCCTCACTGCCATCAGAAAAACTATCAGCTTCATGTGCAGAAGCTAAAACAGTGCTCGGGGCAGCTGGTTCATTTTTTGTTAAAGAACTTGTAGATTTGAGCTGGTTAAAGTCCTTCAACTTTTTAGCAAAGAAGCCTCCAGATGCTCTGCCTTTAGTATCAGTTTCACTTATCTCAGTATCTGTGTTGACTTCCAGCAACTTACTGCCTGTCTGATCTAAACAGTGACTAGTATCCCCTTTATTGTTATCTCCGTTACTTGCTTCTGCCATTTTAACCTGGCTAAAAAATGACTGGATATTCCTTTGTTTTCCTGTGGCTCCATCTACCTCAGAACTCTTGGAACTTTCTGTGTTTGAATGTTTTTTAGATGTAATTTCTGTCACACATTTTAAACCTGGTGCAGGCAGATTAGACAGATGCTGTGTGTGCCCCGTAGAGGAGTCTACTGCCCTTTCTTGGTCAGTACCTCCAATCTTGTCAGAATTTGATAACAGATCAACATCTTCTGAGCTGAGCAATGTTTCTGTGTGTTTATCTGTGACAGCGGGGAACCGCTGCGTGGAAGATGCTGACGGCACAGACTGCGATTGTTTTGTGGAAGATATTGTGGCCTGAGTTGACGGAACAGAATGAAACATCGAGTTAATTGTCTGATGATTCCCACAGTCTGTAAACTTGCTAGCAGACAAGCCCAAGTTCATGAGTGGTGGCACCCTTAATTGGAACAAACAATTGATTTTACATTGATTATATGCTGATCATATATATTGATTATACACTGATTTCCACAGAGAAGAACATTCAATATAAAACTCAATGTAGACTAAACAAATCAGAACAGTTCTTCTTCTGTGTTCGCCCTTAAACGAATGGCTAGTTAGTGTTGTCATTTACAGCTAGGCTGTGATATCATCTGCACCTTCTGCTCTTCACACAAAATCTACTTCAAACCAGCTTTCCTATAACTTTGCAAATGTTCTTAAATGATAAGGAAACACTATAACTAATTAGTGCTCCCCCACCCACCTAAAAAAAACATATGTAATTGTAGTAATCTTTCAGCGAACTCTGCATTCTTTGTTCATTTTGCAAAAGGTAGGAGGGGGTTTCAAAGGAAAACACTAAAGGTGTGATAGAAATTACAATAATCATGTCAGAGCCTTGTGACCTGTCAATACTGTTGATAAAGATGGCAACAGTAGTACACACATGACATCACTATGCAGACAAACATGGTGATGTCACAATGACAATTTAAACATGGCTGCCCCACTTGCATCAAATAGGAGCAGCACTCTGTTATCAAATTGAAAAAAAAAAAAAATCAGTGAAATGATTAAACCTAGAGACATTTATTGGTGAATGAAGGTCCAGTACAGTTATGCATGCCTGTCGGTTCAGCTAGTGTACGAGCGCAGTAAAAAAAAAAAGTAAAGATCCCTTTTCACGCCCTTAGACACATCAGGCAAATGGGAAAAGCATCTTATATTTTTACAGACCAATCATCACTGGGTGGGTAATGTCAGCATTACGCCAGCCGTCTTTACTTCCCCTGGACATCCATCCTGATTCCTATTTCAGGCTTGGTCAACCTGCGACGCCCCATACGACGATAGAAATCCACGCAGCCAGCAGTGGGTTTCGATTGCAGGACGTTTAAATTACGGGTCGGACTCACAGCAATTAAGCCACAGACGCCGCTATGACTGCAGTAGGAAGTTTCAAAATGGGAAGACTTCTGTGACAGTCTGCTCACAGTGGTGTGACTGACCCGGTCATATTATGGATCCCTCCTTCATCAAAGCTCAAGTCTACAAAGGGCTAAAAAAAAGTCCATTTAGCTACTTTTTTTTTTTCCCAACGACACATAATTCTGATAAATACATTAATTTATTTAAATCGGAGGCCTTCAAAGCTGTAACCCTCTTTGACAGAAAAGAAGATTATTCAGTGGTCATACTGTGTTTGCTTCACGCTCTAAAGGTCGCAGGTTTGTTCCATGGACAGACTGACTATTCAGTTAAAGGGCGTCATTTTTACTGAGATCCCTGGCAATCACTACTGGCGCTATGCACGATACTTTCTGCAAGCAGCTAGCCATTATGAGGAGATCTTTATTCACACAAAGGTATACAAATATGCTAAATCTTTAGATTTAACCACTCCACATCAAATTACAAAAACGCCTTGAATGGGTTGAAATCATTCAGAAATGGCACATAATCTCCCTCACCTGGATTTACACACCTGGCTATGCCGACATGAACAGTAATGAGCCAGCAGGTCAACTGGTAAGCAATGTGGGAAGAAGCAAGGAGGGGGCAAATATCATCAGCACCCTGCTGACTAGGTTGTTAGCTCATAATGACGAATCTCTGACAGTAACACAACTGCATGACATGAGAGTAAAGCATGGGGAAGCATGTCTATGCAACCTTCAAGGCTATAACACTATAACAAGGTCCTCATGGGAAACAATAAGCAGAGGTACCTTGGAGTGGCTGCTGTACCAGACGACTGAGCAGGCATGGGAATGCCAAATGTGCAGCGATAACATAACAGACTGAAATAAACAGTTAACCAATATCACAAAACTCAGGGCATTCTCATACACGTCCCACCCCCAACTAGCATCAAGTTGAAACACTAATAGTAGCCTCTTTAGTCTGATTATACATTTGCCCTGCCTTTCCTCTGAGCATTAACTGTCTACCAGATCCTCTGGGCAAATTCGAGAAACACAAAGAACCGTAAGAACTATCCAAAGATACCAATTCATGTTTCTACACTGGTTATTGTTACAAATATTTATTTTGATTACATTTTGCACCAGTTTGTTATTCTAGACTATTTATAAATTAGCAAATCATGTGCCAACTGGTACTGATAGAGTCAAAATATTCTGCCACCCTCAAAATTATCACCTTCTTGGAACATTCTCATCTACATATGTGTCTGTCTGTCTGTGTATATACATGCATGTGTGTTATGAGTGTCAGTGACTGTGGCTTCACTCATAGCAAACACTCACCATTGCTGACTATGGGATGAACTTGTATTGAACTGCTGCAGAATGTAGTAGGCATCAGAACTGATCTTCTCAGCATCATACCTGACAAGAGCACAGGCACGAGAAGCTGACACAGGCCCGGATGCACTTTTATAATACACAGAGACCGTCAGAGATTTTGCTGTCCTCTTATGCTGAAAAGTATTTAAAGACAGCATTAAAATATATAAGAATAACTGGATTATGTTCTCAAGATTAAATAAGGAATTTAACCCAAACTGTTTTACATGTTTGTAAATAGAAGTCACTCCATAATTCCTCTGTTCGCTCTCTGGCAGAGCAAGACTTTTTTTTTTAAATGACCTTGGCTCCCAGGTGACCCAGCCTCGAGGAAGCAAAGGCGGACGGCATGATGCTGACCACATCACCCATCTTGTGCCGATTGATCTATAAAATATAGGTCTAGCCTTATATGCCTAAAGGCGTGGAAAAGGGTCCTTTACTTTTACATAATTGCTCTGTGTTATATCATTATATTATATCACTATAACAAGGTCCTCATGGAAACAATAAGCGGAAATCACAAAATTTCACTCACTGTCCCACTTTGAAAACTAGTGATACAATTATCAGTCCCAGCAAAATCTTGAAGCTCGCACATGCAAAGTAAATGTAGAAGGCAGGCCAGCAGATGTGCCATCATTATTAATCTCCCACCAGAATTGCAGCTCACTGATGATGTAAGCAGTCAATCACGAAAGCTGGCATGTACACACACAATACTTCATATAATACTCCAAATATAATTAGCTGCCTACCATTTTTAGTACAGCTGACAAATAAAACTGCCAGGGGCACAACACACAAAAACCACAAGAAATCTGCAGCGACAGTGTCGCACCAAGCATTCAACTCAACAGGTGAGCTTTGGAACCTTTGGATTTATATCCCAAACAGAGAAATTGCATGGCCAAAAACAAACAACTTTTCAAGTGTCAGCGGCTGGCCAGCTAATATGTCATTTTGGACGAGAATTTTTTATACATCCTGCAGATGCGGCACAAAGTTGTTAACTGACCAGAATGATTTGGGGCAACTCAGTCTCATACAAATGTATATCAGCTAATCTGGGTAATTATTCAGGGTATTTTTAGGGAAGGAAATAAGTGGAGGAAGGGAGCTGGCTTGTCCAAGTGATCAATGGTCAAACCGTTTGCCTCACAGTGTAAAAGTTGTGGGTTTGTTTCACAGCTGCATCATTCGGTTCACGAGTGCAACTGTTATGATGATCCTTGGGGATCGTCGCCAAAGATCCCTTGCATTTGTATCCAAAGATACAAAGCTCATTTTTTTTTGGGGGCAACACTCCCGACAGGTGGCTTGCCGTTCTGCAGTGAAAGACCAAACCATATGGGATCAAACCCTGTGCAATGAAGACGATCCTCTGGACTTCAATGTATGTCATGATGTAGAATATGTTGTTATTTGCAGCTAGAATGAGCAGCAAAACTCCATCTGTTTAGAATGTAATGCTGTATTGCACATAATGATCCCGATGATCATTAATTCTGGAAACCTATTTATAGAAATCACAGATCATCATACATGTAATGTTTAAAAAAAAATTAACAAAAGCAAAGAACAGTCACCTACCAACTCTTTATCCCGGTTCAGCCTCTCACTCATTTCCTCAGACAATTCAGACACCCAGAACTTGACCTATGATTAAAAAAAAAATGAAAAGTAAATACAAATACAGCTAGAGATAATGTGACAACAAAAGCAAAAATTCTTTACATGAAAGCAAAACATACCCATTTACAAGATTGGCAATGAGAAGCATCTTAGTATATCACAGTGCTTCCCATGGGGGGCGGGGATGGTCAGAGGGTGGTAGCTGCCTCAATCAAAGGGGGGGGGGGGGGGGGGGGGGGCAGTGGAACTGTCCACAGGAGTGGTAGTGGTGGGTGAAACTGAATAAAAATAAGGCAGCGGTAGAGAGACAGATAGACAGCGATATTTTAAAATCATTTGTCCCTGTTTCTATGTAGTGTAACAAAAGGGTAACAAAATGAAATCATAGTGAGAACTTAATTTTCAAAATAAACAATGAAATTATAGCATAACCAATCAGTTTATCCTTCTCATTACCATGAATTTAAATGTTATTCATGGGTTTTGTTTTAATCTTTATTTTCTACACTGAGTGGAAGGAGGGATTGAGTTGAAATTTCCACAAGCAGCACTTATTTACAAAATGTATTCTGAATAAGAACGTCTCTGTATTAATGACTGGATGTCATTTAGATAGCCTTTTTAAGAAGTCAGTACAACAGAGAGAAAGAGAGTCTCTCAGAGAAGCGTAAGTGGTGCCAGATTTCTTCCTGGTTTACATCAGTGTTTCCCAAACTTGTCTTAGTAACAGCGTCTTTTTTCAAATTAAATTTTTCCATGCCGCCCTAACCTAAGTAAAAGTATGACTATTTGTATGCAAGAGATAAAAAAAAATGAAACTCGCATATCTTCAAATATTTCACTGTGCCCCTGCGAAGAGGTTACGGCTCCCCGGGGCAAAGCGGCGTACAGTTTGGGAATCACTGGCTTACATAACTAACATTACTAAATGTTCTCACCAGCAAGTCTCCAACAGCGTACATGATCAGGCAGCCCCATCTGTCTTAAAGCTTTAAACCGCTAAAAGGCTGGTTGCATATCCTTTACGGGATGTTGCAGAACCTCGCCGTTATCACGGTCTGCCTAAAAGAAACTAGGTATCTCACCTGCATCGTGCACATTACTGAACAAAAAATGCCTAGTAAAACCACAAACAGTTTATAAATTCTTGGGTCAGTTTGCAGTGCCGTGTAAAGGATAGGCAACTAACTTTTTCTGTGCAAACATTGTTCTCAGCCACATAAAACAATTAACCAGATAATGTCCGTTCCTTCACAGGACCATATGCTAAACCAGGGTAATTTTTTATGTTTCCATCACAAGTGCCTCAGTTATAACTTCCTAATCCCTGTGTGGGCTTCAGGGAAAACAAGAACAGACCCACTGCCTACCCAAAAGCATGTCATATGAGTTGACTAATAGGTAGCTACATTCGAGGTCAGAGTGCAACTGCCTGAGAGGCAAGGAACCAACAATCTATACACAAATGAGTCAGATCTGTCAAACTGATGCACACGCAACACTCAGGTTCTGAAACAGGACTGCAGTCCAGAAATGGACAAACAACCAGAACTTTTCGCTGGAGTTTACAGCTGGTGAACGCAAAGAAGAAGGAAGAAAGTAACTTCCCAGTAGGCTGAAGAAGTTATCTGGGATTTTCTCAGTTTTTTTTCATCCATGCTGTAACTCTTTAGGCTGCAGGGATTGTCATATCTTTAAGAAGCAGCCTAGAAGGGAAAAGGCAGAGACACAAAGCACTGACAACCTTCTCTTCAGATGTTCCCCATGTAGTTCTACAACCCCATCTGGGGGGGGGGGGGGGGGAAAGAGCCACATTGGACCCCATAACAAGCATGTTGTAAGAGTTTACTAAGTAGGAATGTTTCCTTTGAAGTCGGGTGTATCTGCCTAAGGGTAAGGAACCAACAGTCTACATACAGTTAAAGCAGATATTTAGGATGAATGTGCACGCACAACTGAAGTTCTGAAACCTGACCAATGTCCAGAAGTGGATAAACAACCAGAACTTCTGTTGTAGTTTGAAATATGTGGGAGGAGGAGGAGGAGGAGAAGAAAAAGAAGAAGAAGAAGAAGAAGAAAAAAAAGAAATAGAAGAAGAAAAAGAAATAGAAGAAGAAACAGAAGAAGAAGAAGCAAACCAACCTTTTCTTTAGTGTCTAAAATTTCTTTTCCCCGAAAGTTTTTGCTGCAGCCAATGGATTTGGGAAGAACTCTGGTGGCCACTGACTCTGTCTCAATGCCACGACATGCACCATACAACCAGCTCCTAAGATTTGAATAACATTACACACAATGAGTTCCTTGTAGACATATTTAGGTTGATCCTGGAGCTCCTTATGTGAGTTCTGGAACCTTACAGGGAAGTGGGGGCAGGGGGAATCTACTGACCCTCAATAAGCAGGTCGTAAAAGGTGACCGGCAGCCGCCGTGGTATAGCAGCTAGATGCTGGCCTGCGGATGGGAAGGTCATGAGTGCGGTTTCTATAAAGCCGGACTTTTTTCTTCTTTTTAATAGCCCTAGCTACCAGGTCGACTTAGCCTTGAGTGGGTATCAGGTATAGTCATGGAAAGTAAAGGCGGACATCGTAATGTTGACCACATCACCTAATGAGTGGCAAGTGGTCTATAAAATATAAGTCTAGCCCTATATGCCCAAAATGCCTGAAGGCGTGGAAAAGGGTCCTTTTTAAAATGTGACTAAGGGAGGTTTTTGCCGAAATCAGATGTGTTAGGTCAAAAAGTGCAGATATTACAGCTTAGCTGTAAACCGCAAAACGACATGCTAATTACCCTTTTATGGATGAATGCAGCAGCAGCAAAAGAAGAAGAAGAAGATCATGTAACATCATTAAAAAAAAAGATTACAACATACAGGATCTCCTACCAGAAAATAAACTAATTTATCCGGTAGCAGGAAAATCTGACTAATTATGAACATTCACACACATCATCATCTAGCAGGTCCTTTGCAGAACGTCGCTCTCATCACGGTCTGCCTGAAAGAAACTCTTGTCTCTCACTAGCTTTCCCACTTCATGTACTTTCATACTCAAGGTGTCACTTATATCCTTTGCCCATCTTCGTTTTGCTTGGCCCCTGCCCCCTCCTTCTGGGCACCATGCCTTCTGCTATCATTTTTTCAAATCCGTCGTGGCATTCACACACATATAAGAGCCTTATATCTCCCTCGACACCTACAGCGGTAAAAGAGGAAGTGAAGAAGAAGAAGAAGAAGAATGCCAGTGGCTGACAATGAAAATGATGGACGTGATGTTGAACCTGTTGAACATTCCTGCCAGGCAGAATCCATATTGGGCCCTCCCCCTTGATGCAGCCCAAACCAAGTTACAGGGGTATCCTATACCTTGACTTGTGGAGCTAGGAGAAGAGTGTTAAGAAAAACACACAGCTAGTCAGTTGAGTTGATTCAAGAAATAAAAAATCACAGCACTCATGGTATTCCCATGTGTGCTTCGTCCTCATCTTCAGCAGCCAGCTCAGAGTTGCAATACTGATGGTTCCGGTCACAATCTGGTTATATGTCCGTCTTGCCTTTCCTCTGAGTGCAGTGAGCCGGCCAGACCCTCTGGTCACACCCAGGTGCCTCATTCTCTCCAGTTGTTTTTCTACTGATTCCGTTGCTTGTTACACAGCTAGCCAAAACCAAGGAAAAGAAAAGATTCACACATACTGACTTATCTAAAACTCCAGCACTAACAATTAACAGCCCCATGACCATCATTGGCAGGTAAGTGACCTAACCAATAAACTATTATGTTTCCACATTTATAATTGGGGACTTCCTTCCAAGTCGGAGTACCTCTGCCCGAGTGGCAAGGAACAACCAACTGCACACAAAAAAGTAGGTAAAACGGATGTACACGCAAAACTCAGGCCATGACACAAAGGGAAAGTCCAAATGGATGAACAACCAGGACTTTCTGCCGGAGCATACAGCCAGCGAACAAAGAAGAAGAGGATTTATTAAGAATGCACAAGACAACCAAAAAAAAAAAAAAAAAACTAAGCCAAAGTGCTAAGAAATTAATTACCCAGTCTTGACTCCACAGTGCTTCTGCAATTCTTGCTCAGAAAATTTGGTCAAGTCCCACATGTTTTTCAGGCCAAGCTCGTCTGTAAGAAAAGTTCCAAGCTTTCCTCCAAGATGGCGGCTAGTTAAAATTGTATTGACAAAATTCTTTTTTTTATGTCACCTGAGTGAGAGGGTGAAAGGGGGGGGGGGGGGGGGGGGGGGGGGGCAAGAGTGACAGAAAGGATAAAAGAGAAAGAGAGAGAGAGCATATGTGCAAAATGAAAAAGGCAATACATTTTCATAAAAAAAAAAAAGGTTCATTACTGTTGAACTGTCTGCTCTTGACAGCCTTATATCATTGATATAAAAGTTCTGATCCACCAGTTAGAAACTGTTAGAGACTGCTGTAGTAGCTTTTCCCACATATTTGAGAGAGACAAGCATTTCTTACTATTATTTGCACTCACCAGCTGCAAACCTGGACATTCATTTTACAGATCTGCCTTAACTGTATGTAGACTGTTGGTTCCTCCCCCTTAGATACACCCAAATTCAAAGGAAACATCCCTACAAAATGTGTATCGAGATCTGGCTTATTTGTATCCAGACAGAATTGGCTTATTTGTATTCAGATCTGGCTTATTTGTATACATATAAATCTGGCTTTTTTGTGTCCAGACAGACCCAGCTTTTTTGTATCCAGACAGATCCAGCTTATGTGTATCTATATAGAGCTGGCTTATTTGTATCCAGACAGACTTGGCTATTTGTATTCAGACCTGGCTTATTTGTATCCAGATATGACTTATTTGTATCAATCTGGCTTATTTGTTTCCAGACAGATCTGGCTTATTTGTATCCAGACAGACCCGGCTTATTGGTCAACTCCTACAACATGCTTGTTAGGGGGTCCAATGGGTCTACCCCCCCCCCCCCCCCCTAATGGGGTCGCAGAATTTACGCAGGGAATATTTGAAGAGAAAGCTGTCAGTGGTTTGGGTCTCTACCTTTCCCCAGGGGTATGACCATCCCTGCAGCTCAGAGAGTCACAGCAGGGATGAGAACCCAACAGAGAAAATGCCAAATAACTTCTTCAACCTTCTGGGAAGCTTTAACTGAGGTACTCATCATGGAAACATCCAGAATTATTGGTGTAGCACACAGTCCTGTGAAGGAATAGACATTATCTGGTAAATTGTTTCATGAGGCTGAGAACAATGTTTGCACAGAAAAAGATAGTTGTGTATCCTTTACACGGCACTGCAAACTGACCCAAGCATTTGTAAACTGTTTGTAGATTAACTAGGCATTTGTTTGTTCAGTAATGTTTTACGGGGCTGGTAAGAGACCTATTTTCTTATAGGTAGACCGTGATCATGGCAAGGTTCTGCAAAGGACCTTCTATATAATGATGAGATTGCCATTGCTTTTTGAGGAGTTGAATACTCATACTATTAAAAAATATGATTCATAAGTCTAAGTATCTGGTATGTCAAAATTTTGAAACTGCTCTATTATGTTTAGCTTTCCCCTTTGGGGTCTGACCACCCTGAGATCACAAAATCTTAATATGGATGTAAAGCCAACAAGATAAATCCCAGATACCCCGTTCAGCCTTCAAAGAAGTTATAACTGAGGTTCTTGTAACGGCCTCACCTGCCCTGTGTAACCTGCAGTCAGGTGCAGTTAAGAATTATTCCGAAACTATATGTGTAGCCCTTAAAATGACCGTAGAGTTAATTGTAACATGAAAATGAATTTTTTTTTAAACACAGATCACTAAAAAATTTGTTTTAAATGCATTAATTTATATTTTATAATTATTTGTTTGAAATATATAAAGATATACCAAATGAGTAATCAATAAACATGAAAAGGGTGAAGCATTAAAGGGAATACATCCCCTGCGGCCTAAAAAACATACTTGTATCAGGACTCATGCTGTGACCTCTAACACTGAGGTCTGCGAGAAAATCAGACCTTAAATTGGCTTTGAAAAAGTCATTTAGCTCAAAGAGGAACCCCATAAATGTTATGGTTAGTCAATGTGTTCATATCCTGACCTGCTAAAACGTTTGCATGGGCATTAGCTCGGCCAACAGCAATGTTGTCTCGTAAAGATGTCGCATGTATTGCTATGTGTCTCGTAAACAGGTCACTACAGACAAGACATGAAAAAGTGACATTTACTGAGAACTGGACCCAACCAGAAGTGTGCTTTTCAAATGCTCAGGACAAAGGGTTTATGCTGACATTCACTTTTTAGTTTAGTTGATGCATTTAGTTTAAAACTTATTGTTCCTTTTGCCTCTTTCTTTGTTCAGCCACTTTTCTCTTGTTTTTTGTTTTTGTTTTTCTAGACAGTTCTCACTCAGCAAAGTGTGCTATTTTACTGTTTTATGTTGTCTGCTTTCGAAAATTAGTTCACCTTCCCAGTTCCCATGAGTACAATATGATTAAGAATTCATAGTAACGTCAAACTTTTGATGTTAAATAAATGTAAAAATATATTTTCATTATTATATTTTAGTTTTAATATCCTAAATGAAACAAAAAGAATAGTAATTAATATCTTAACCCTATAACATCCAAGAAGTCCTCACCAACAGTCAAGTCAAGAAAGTTTTTATGTGGTTAACTTCTGTCTACCTGTCAATCTTTGAATTTATGAACAATCACTTACATTTTGTGTATAGGTAAGGTTTCAAACAGTGTTTGAACAGCAGACATAGGCAGCACCGTTTGTTTGTTAGGTTTGTTTCGACCACATGCAAACTTGGCCAGCATCTGAAAACACAGGAAACATTTGTACGTGTCTACTGGATGTCGTTATTTCCAACAATATTTCATAAGTGTATCAATCTACTTCTTCTTCAGCTGTGTTTGCCCTTAAAAAGGGAAGTTGGCACATTGCGTTATATTTTCAGCTAGACTATCCTTCTTCTTCTTTTCCTTTTGTTCTTCTTCTTCTTCGCTTTCAGCAGCTGTAACTCCAGCAGAAAATTCTGGTTGTTGGTCCACTTATGGGCTTTAGTCTTGTTCCAGAACTTGAGTTTTGATGTATAAATTCATTGTACAGATCTGGCTCATCTGTAAGCAGACTGTTGGTTCCTCACTTCTCAGGCAGATGCAATCCAACTTTAGAAGGAAAGAAGCTGTGATATATGCGCCTTATAGCCCAAAACATCAAATTTCAGCAAAACTTAGCCGCCTTTTACGAAAGACTAGTTGAGGGGCAGTGAGTCTAATTTTTTTTTTAAATCCCTAAAAGAGTGGCCAGGAACACACACAGAGTTTGTCAATCAATATCTACAAATATTTCAAATGTTATTTCAAGAGTTTCCGAGACACTGATATTTTTCTATTTTTTTCTATCTGTGCCATGTGCTACTGATACTTATGTCAGTCCCTAGAAAAGGCCTCGGTGGCGAGTTTGTCAATCAATATCTACAAATATTTAAAATGTTATTTCAAGAGTTTCCGAGACACTGATATTTTTCTCTTTTTTTTTTTTTTGTCTGTGCCATGTGCTACTGATACTTATGTCAGTCCCTAGAAAAGGCCTCGGTGGCGAGTTTGTCAATCAATATCTACAAATATTTCAAATGTTATTTCAAGAGTTTCAGAGACACTGATATTTTTCTATTTTTTCTATCTGTGCCATGTGCTACCGATACTTATGTCAGTCCCTAGAAAAGGCCTCGGTGGCGGGTTTGTCAATCAATATCTACAAATATTTCAAATGTTATTTCAAGAGTTTCCGAGACACTGATATTTTTCTATCTGTGCCAGATGCTACTGATACTTATGTCAGTCCCTAGAAAAGGCCTCGATGGCAACGTGGTTAAGCCGTTTGCCTCATTCTCTGAAGGTCATGGGTTCATTTTGTGACCGCACCATTCAGTTTACAATTTTAACAGAGACCCCTGGGGATCAATGCCGGAGCTACAGAGTTCATGTTTTGTATTACACTCTTAGCAGGCAGCTAGCCATTCTAGGAGAGAGACTGAGTCATATGGGGTAAAAACTGAATCCATGAAGTCGATCCTTTCGACTTTAACTCTATTTAGCCCACATCCTTCTGTCTCATGCAATTTCAGTAATTTCCTCTGTAATGATCCTCTGTGCCATATCAAACTGTCCAGAATCTTCTCTGTCTTACTCTGCCTCTCTTTCCCTCCAAACTTCCTGCTGTTATGGTATACTCCAGTTTTCTCCTTCTCCCAATATGAACAAAGTATGTAGATTATTTCTTGATGTATGTAATAAGTTTTCATCATGAGTTAATGTCTTTCAAGTCATCTTCCTTATTCTTCGTTATCTGTTCATGGTGTTGTTAACTTCTCTAAAACTACATCTCTGCAGCTTTCACATTTATTTTTTTTTAACTAAAGTGCCAACTGTCCAAGATACACTTCCATACATTCCGAGTGATTCAATATAGACCTTAATAACTTTCTCATCTCAGCTGACAAAGACAGACTGCTTAGTATATTATTCTTTCTGCTTGAGCTATTCTACATTTTAATTTCTCTAATACATCTTCCAACTGCTGTTATCAGGGTACATAAGTACTTAAACATATTAATCTTTAGACTTCACCCATTTACCTTAATGCTTCATTTTGGAGGGCATGTTTTTTTGTTGTAATTAATCTGAGATTAACAGTTTCGTCCCAGATATCCTTAAGGGAAAAAGCTTTGAACCTTAAGAAATCTTTTAAAAACAATCATTTTATACAAGCCACTATGCAACTGCTAAGACTAAAGGCAAATTATTACTTTTAACAGTGTAAAAAAAAAACATTACAAAATAAAAATAAAAAACAAACAGCAGGAGAAAAGAGAACGAATGCCATTAACTAGGATTGCCAGGGAGAGGCCAGTGCAGGGATGCCAATTTAGCGGCTTTAATGGGATTTGTAACATACAGTAATGCCAAATTGGCGAGTCATCTGAGGCAAAACAAAAAATAAGTACAATCATTATAGTCATATTAACACATATACCTTGTTATTTGATATTCCCGCTGAGCAAGTGAACCCTGTCTCTTTCAGCACCGCTGCTCTCATTTCCTCAACCATACTTGCTGCAACTGCCAGCCTGCACTCACTCTCATTTGCTTCTTTGTTGCTATACAACTTCATTAGCCATTCTGAGGTCCCTAGTGTCAATAAATAAAATTAAAATAAAAAACGTTAATGAATTTCATTTCTTGAAAATATGTATTTTTTGCCCATGAGTCTAGACTTTAATATGGTGCTGGCCCTAATCAAAGGCCACTTGATAAGTGATGCAATCAAGATCATTACAGCTGCCTAAACTTTTCAAAACATCCTGGTACAAATGTTAATGTTGGGTCAATCTAGGAGCACAGGTCATTTTTTTTCTTTTATCTGCACTCATGGTGATTTGAACATATGATTGCTAGGTCGGCAGGAGAAAAGTTCACCTCAGTCAGTTTTCTAAAAAAAAAAAAAAAAAAAAATATTGCAGGATAATTTTAATTTTTTTGACGAATTGGTCACCCCACCTCATTTGCCAGGACCTAGTATATCTAAAGGATAAAGCATCTGCTAAAAAAAAATAATCACACTGAAACACATACCCTCCAAGCTGGCATAGCCTTCAACAAATGTGTTTGCTATCTGGCCTGCCAGCACTTGACTGTCTCCCAAAGCCTTTAACCTCCGAGAGACTTCATCTGTGAGGTCAAGGAAGGCCTCATCAACGCTGGCCCTTTCCACGCAAGAACAAAACTTGCTGAACACAGTTATCACTTCAGCTCCAGCTTCTCTGTACCTGCAGACAGGTAGACAGGCAGTTTCTGAGTCTAGCAATCACTGATGTTACTTAATGTCAAAGTAACCCATCCACTGGGATTATTACCTTTTGATTCTTCATCCTTGATATGTTTATACTACAGATTGCAATGCTGGAAAGAGGAAACTTAAAAAAAAATCTATTAAACACCCCCCAATCAAATTAAAGTAAGTGTTGCATTTCTATTTTGTTCCCCATTGACGTTTTTATATACTGCTTCCTTAAAGAACTTATTTATTTTTCTTATTATCCCACTATTATTGCAAAGACGCTAATGAGAATAAATCAAGAAAGTTAAAACCTCACGTCCTTTGACACAACCTCATTTGAAGAGGTAGAATCACTGACATATTTAAGTAGCACTGAAGACAAAGGTGGCACAGTGGGAGTGGTATGAAAATAAAAATACAACAGGCAACATATTGATGGGCTGTTTTTTTTAGTCTGGTGTTCACCTATGGCTGTTACTACAATTTATTTTGCCTTCAATGTTTCCCACTACTATGAATTTCAGTAGCTTGTTGTGTTATTTGATATGACCACAGTATTTGTCTTTTCACATTTCTATTGTGTTCACTAGTGACTTGTTTATAGTGAGTTGTTACATAACCGCTTTATCTGTATTTCTTTTTTCACTGAAGTAACTCCCAGCTTTTGAAAACCTATATTTCAAAAGGTACAATTACATGCTCAGATATGTATTCAATAAAATAGTGTCAAATACACATACCATTAGATTAGACTTAGTTTTAGTTTCTGTAAAATTGTAAAGAAAGTTACAGTCTAAATAACCAAAAAATGACGAACAGGCAGAAGAAATGTGGTTTCTGGGGGAAATCTTCTTCTTCTTTTGTTCGTTTGAAATAAATTATCTATATCTGCAATGTTGTCTCTAGTATAAACTTCACTGTCTTTTGTAATTCACTCGGCGAGCCGTCAAGTTTGACTTGCACCAATGTTTCTCTTGGCCAAAACTTTTACGCTGATATGTTGTATTTGGGACAATTTTTGGAGGATATGATCTGTTTTCTCAGGTGCCAATGCAAAGAACACCATGGATGGACAGAAACAAAAATGAAGCAGTCATTCAAAACACAGATGAAAATCTTAAAAGATTTGAGAAATTAGATGTAGACTGTCAAGATTAGTTGGGCATCTCAAGGGAAGAAATAAACTTGATGGAAAAAAATCAAGGCCGTAACAAGGAGATAAATACATGGATGGTTTGGCAACATGGCTTAATCGAGACCAGAACCAGGGTGCTGTCAATGAGAAAACATAGGGGTGTGGCATAAGCCTTGTTTAGTCACATAGTAACATTCTGCTGAAAGTAAATAAATATATTTGATGTAATATGAAATAAATATATTAATAAATACTTCAAAATAGAACTATACATGGTTTGGTAAAGAGGCAATGAAGCTCCCTTAAAAAGTTTATGTGAAAAAAAAAAAAAGAGGGTGGAAGGGAGGTCAAGAATCTAAGCCCACAGATTTCTTGTGTCCTTGACCAGAACACAGAACTGGCTTAGAATCTTGTGATAGTGAGATAATGAACCATAAATGCCCCCACTCACTACAACAGAGGCACATGATTTTTTTTCATCGAACACCGGCTGTGAATTCCAGTGGTAGGTCAGGTAATCGTCCGCTTGGACTTTTGGCTTTCACCTGGACCTGATTTTTGCGTGTACAACCGTTTTTCATTTCCCTGCCTCATGGGCAGCTGTACGCCGACTTCGAAGGAAGACGTCAGGCCTATTTCTAGGGTGACTGTGGCCATTGTTTTGTGTGGGTCGAGACGTTGCCTGATTTGTGTGGTGTCCACATTGTCTCCTTTGCCGCAGGTATTGCCCCCGGAGTACCCCTTTGGGTCAGCCCCCTGTGGAGCAGTTAGCCCTCAAGGGAAGGCAGGGGCAGATCATGGGCATTCCCCGCCATCCAAGGAGGCATCCATGTATGAAGAGCCGGCACATGGCGCTCTGGTTCTGGGCTCACCCAAGGAATCGTCACGTCCTGCACATGCCTGCTTAACCTCACAACCGTATCAGGCCTCCCGCTCGACAGGGGCTGCGCCCTCTGGAAGTCAGCGGGGAGCAGCCCGTGGGTTTTGGACTTTTGTGACCACACAGATAGGTACATTCTTTTTTCTTCGCACGTTAGATTTCTTTGACGAGCCGTTAGCCCGACAGAATTTTACATCCTGCTCCAGGCATATCGTATCAGTTTTGTCCCAACACTCGGGCGAGTGGGGTCTTTGGGTGTGGACATTCGGTCTTTTTCAGTTCAATACAAATTTTGAGGGCAGATTTTGATCCGTATGATCTAGTTTTGTCGGACATTTAGGCTTAGCCATACGATGGATGGTTGCTGTTATGGTGTACCACAGCGCGGTGACGACGACACTGAGGGTTAACCAAGGATGTACATGAATGGCCAGCCTATGGATGGTTGCTGTTGTGGTGTACCCCAGCACGGTGACGACGACACTGAGGGTTAACCGAGGATGTACATGAATGGCTGCTGTTGTGGTGTACCCCAGCGCGGTGACGACGACACTGAGGGTTAACAGAGGATGTGGAGTGAACAATGTTCTCTTTACTCCGCAGTCTTTTAACCAAGGGTTGTAATTTTGGCTGTACGTTTGGCAGACCTACTCATGTTCTTAATGAGTTATAATAACATTTTTCACCCAAGCGTTTGGGGGCGGGCTGATGAGAGCCACAAGGACACATCACCTCTGGGGGCCGCCAAACTCCGAGATCCCCTGACAGCTCTGTTAATGCTCATTTGAGACATTATCCGTGGCGCACGACGAGGACGTGCTGCCGGGGTCTTGCGTGAGGTTCCGTACAACCAGGATATTAAAGGACTGGCGCCCGAGTGACGTACGGAGTATCTCCTTATACACATCATGTTGGACTTAACTTCCCCTCACGCCTGTGACATAAATCACCGCGCCACAGGCACATGATGATTACTGTGATCAACAGATTGACAATTTTAGGGAAAACCAATTATCCTCTACCAACCTGGTAAGATCAGCTTTGCCTCTAACTTCTGGCACTCTGGCCAGCTGAATATCTGGACACTTCTCCTGTGCCTCGTCTCCACACATATTACGGGTCACACCGAGTGCTCGTGCTTCATAACCAACAGCAATAATCCTATAATGTAAATGAAAACAAGTGTTACTAAATGCTAGTATTACTATAATGACAACAAATCTGACAACAAACAAGTGTACATTAGTAAGAAAACTGAAGCCACAAAGAAGTTGATGTATAAAAGCGTAGGTAATATTTTTTTCTTATTAGTGTAGGAGATGATATTTCTTCTTTTTATTACATGAGATGTTGATATACAGAAGAATAAGCAATATGTATTATTATTATCATAGATGTTGATATACAGAAGCATTGTGTGGGTTCCAGGGTCCTATGAAGGATTAGGACGACCCCCCCCCCCCTCCACAAGAATGTCATAAAAGATGACTAGTCAGGGGTCTTTCCTTCAAAGTTGGGAGTGCACCTTCCTGAGAGGCGATGAACTAACAGTTTGCATAAAAATAAGCCAGATATGTAAAAGGATGCACATGCAAAACTGAAGTTTTGGAATAAGACCAAAGTTCAGAAGAGGTCGAGCAACCAGAACTTTCCACTGGAATTTATAATCGCTAAGAAAAAGAAGAAGATATACAGAAGATTAGGTCAAATTTCTTATTTTTATAGTTCATATTGTTTGGTGTTAGCAACCGCATTTGTCCATAGCCTTATTTCAAGCGTACTGTCAATTCTTTTTTGCTACAAATGTTCTTTCATGGCATGATGTCAAAGTGTCCAAAATCTTGTCACTTGCTCTCCTTCTAGATCTCTTCCCCTCTAATTTCCCCATTGCCCTAGGGTTGTCCACTTTACCCCTTCTCACAACGTGCCCAAAAAATATAATTGTACAGTGATAAGATAGTGTGAGAAAAACAACAAAAACTCAAGTCTGGTTATAGCAAAAACAGGAATCCTGCAGCCAGAGAAGAAAACAAACATATAAGTTTTGCAAAAATTCTGACTGAAAAAAAAGCTTTCTATTTTTCAATTTCTAGAGAAGCGTAGGCTCTCATCCAACTCACAAGTCATATGCAGGTATGTTCAGGATTTGCTGAATTGTACAGCTAAAATTGTCTATCATATAATGTTGCAGAGTTATATGTCAATCCTCTTGAGCTTGTTTCAAATTACAGGCATGATAAGTTTACCGGGTTCATCTTCTACTGCTTCACTTCCTCAAGTTACCTCATTGAGGTATGGGGAGAGGGATGAATGAAAGCAAATGCTGTGTGCTCTATCTAATGTGTTTCATAAGGTGACCTTCATTTCTTTGGAGCTGTTCTTGAAACTGTCATTCCATAATTTGTGTGGTCTTTCCCATGCTCTGTGCTCCAATTATTTCTTTAGCATGGCTCTCTGTGGCACTTATTACCAGGGCATTTTCATCACATAACCAAACCATCTCATTTGTTCCTCTTTATTAAACTGTATAACTGGTTTCAGCCCTAGTCTTTTCCTAATTTCTTCATTTTTTTAACTGTATCCCTTCTAGTTACCCCAGCAGGTCTTCTAAGACATCTCATCCCTGTTGTTATGAATGATCTTGTGATCACTGGTTGTACCACTGGTCCATGTTTAACACTGGTAGCATTAAGTTGGCCAAAAACTACTAGTTCTTAAAAGATTCGTAGGTTACAGGGTTACTATTCTTTTTTTTCCTTCCACTCAGATCTGTAAAATGGATCTTGGGGAAAAAATCAAGTTTTGAACAAGACTAGACGAGCAACCTGAACTTTCCACCAGAGTTTACAACTGGTGAAGGCGAAGAAGAAAGTTGTTTAACTTTCACATTTAGCATCTACACCTTAAGATAAGATGTTTGCTGCTGCAGGCGCAGCATCTATGGGTACACCCAATGAACGATGGTGTCCATTCTTAAATCAGTAATCAGTTCAACTACAAAAGTACATTCCAGATTGACATCAAGAAAATCTTAAACAAATGTGGCCACTATTCTTACCCTCCTCCTCTATAAGTCTTATACTGAACAACAGCACATGGCTTTCCCTTCAAGCTTGGGTCTAGTCGCTGCTCCACTTGCACATAGAAGCAGTCCATATCAATTAACACGACTTCTCTGTCTGTCATTTTTATTTTTGTACCAAGCGAATTATGTACTGTGATAAAGAAGTCACACAACGCTATATGTGCTGAGTGCTGGTAGGCTTATTATTGAAACCGACCTGTCAGTCCCCAAACAATTTGTGTTCTAGGAAGAATAAAGAAAAATATTAAGGTTAATACTTACTCATATTTAAAGAATAATGTGAAACACTCATTTAATCTATAATTCTACTTTTTAATCTGAATTAATGACCTGACCATGCCATAAAGGTAGTGAAGCATCAGTTACATAAACTAAATTAGCCAAGACCTCGCCTTATTGTTCTAGCGGGCATCACAACAACAACCTACATTAGTCTCCGAAAGGGAAAAGCAAGTATAAAAACATAAATTAATCTGGCTAAAAAGTGAACAACTCTGAAAACAGACATAAGTCTGGCTATTGAAGAATCAATCATGAAAACATCTGGCTAGGGAAGGGATGATCAACCATGAAAATAGTCTGGCTAACAAAGTGAGCATCAACCACAACCCTTCTTATACTAAATTTAGCACCCTGTCAGACTGAAATGGTCACAGTACCTTTCCGACTACCCAGACTGTAGTGTTATACTGTGATATATAGAGGCATGGGAATAACAGCCCATGGGGATGGTGACCGTGACTAGCAAGACAATGAATTTAGTAGATGAAAAACACTCATATTTTATACAGCTCACTATGCCAACTCACAAGTATTCTCTAAATTAATATGCTGCTTGTCTAACGGTGCAGCCAATGCCTTCTCAAGATTGAGCCCCAGCGCACTTCTGCTTAGCTGTGTGCTGTAGGGAAGAAAGTGTGTTATTTTAGAATGAACCGAAAGGAGGACTGTGATTTTTTACGAGTGTAGATATACTGTTTTATAGTTACATTTCCAAAGCAGACTGTTCTCCAAGTGTTTAGTGTTATTAACTATGCCTGTGAAATATTCAGTACCTGAGTGTCGCTCGAATTATGATCCTTCAAGTGGATATGTGAATGTTTAAATTTCCTACGGATTCTCTTTTAAGAGCAAGATGGCTGAGTTAATTTTCATGCAAAAACTAGACTCCTGAGAAAACCAGTGTAGTAAGTGCATTTTCGTACGTCTGATATTATTGTATCAGATAAATATACAGACAAATCTAGAAAAGAGCATATAATTTCTTTGTGTGATTTGCTTTGGATTTATCTTCATTGTGAGAAGCCAGTTTTATACTTTTTGGAAAGCTGCAGACTGACAGTTTAGAAGCTCGGTCTCAACAGGAAAGAACAAACATCAATTTTTAGACTTTGGACTGGACACTGTGGTCTTCGAGCACATTTGTACAGGATAGGCATAAAAGAATCTGCTGCCTGTGATTGTGGAGCAGAAAGACAAACCCCTGAACGCATACTGCAGTACTGCCCTTACCTCTCCCAGCAAAGACTGTGGATCTGGCCCAAAGGAGCCACATTGCAAGAGAAGCTATGGGGGACCGGTGGCGACCTTAAACGCACAATCCTATTTGTGACCCAGACGGGACTCAATGTTTAGCATGACTGATATCGAACGCAGAAGAAGAAGAAAAGAAGAAGCTCGGTTTGGCGAATATCGCCAGTTATCAGGAGCAAACTATCTAGTATCTGTTCAGCTACTTTTGGAAAGAGGAAAGAAACTAAAGTTCACTCACTGCTAAGTCCTCATCAATTTATGGATATTTTCCTATCCGTGACCAGTTTCTTAGAAGCAATGAAGGTGAAAATGGGGATAATATAATTACTGATGCTGTTCAGCTGGACCTGAACAATGTTTTTGTTTTTAAATAAACCAAAATGACTGTAAATTATTGGTTTTGGAAGGTACAGAGGAGTCATTGGTGGATACTGCTGGATTTGTCTCTAGTAAGCTGAACAAAAAGAATTAAGTATGCTGCATGCAGGGCTTTACTGCAGATGGACAGGTCATTAGCATATGATATTGACTCGGGTGTAATGTCCACGATCTACACACAGCTGCTTGACCATGGAGGTTTGAAATATCCTTTAAAGATTATAATTTTACTGACTTTTGTAGCATATGCAGCTATGCAGAAGCTTATATCAGCTGAGTTGGAAACAAGATTTCTAGCGTGCAAACATCACAAAAAATTGTTTATGCATATTGTTCTTGCAGTTTACACACATATTTCAATGTTGAAAAATGTGGTGTCTGTGCTGAGGGTTGTTCTAAAGTAAACATTGCTTCCAAAGCGCTGCTATCTCTGGCAAATGTTTTTTTTAAAATAACTATAGAAAAGTCCATAATGATAGACCTTTGCTGAATAAATCATCCAAGAAAAGAAAACTGGCTGTTCACTCACTAATTTACAGTGACTACATTATGGGACATACTGCAGCTAAAATGTAAGTAGTTTCTGTTGTACTTTCCGTATCTATGTTGTCATACTGTGTATACCTATATACACGTTTTATTCTCTAGCTTATTCCTATAATTTTTGTGAGACTATCAGAGTGAACACGGAACATATTGTTAGCCCGGGGTGATGACGTCAGTCAAGCTGATGACGTCAGCATCTAGGCCTATAATCTGGAGAAGGCATTGGTGTAGCCAAGTCATTGCCAGTTCCTGATTCTATGATTTTGTGTAAGATTCAAAACCTGAAACACTAATGTTAAAAAATTAAACAAACAAACCAACTTTTTTTTCAAATCAAAGAGTTAAGAATGGAACAACTAGCTACTGTAATAAGGGTCAATTTGGCAAGTTCTTAATAAAGAAAAACAGAGCAATCATAGTTCCTTGACTAAAACACATTTGCTACACCATTCCTTCTTATGTGGTTGCCCTTAACAGGCAGTTGGCACATTGTATTGTGGTTCACAGCTAGGCTATGATATCTGCAACTTTCAGCCCAACACATCTGATTTTAGCAAATCCTTAGTTATGTATTACAACATGCTTGTTTAAAGGCAGTGGATCTATTCTTGTACCTCCCTCCCTCTTCCTCCCCAAAATAAGGCAACTGAAAAAGGTTCCTGTTCAAGTTGCCACAGCCAGAATTAGAGTAACTTCCCTTGCCATTCATGCCTCCTTAGGTCGCTGGACCTCTCCTATGTTGCGGGGGTGTTATGATATGGCTTGGTTTGGCGTTCGCTGGAAGTATGTAATGTTTGTGGGAAGCTGTGTTGTTGTGAGTCTATTTCAGGCACCTGTGTAAAAGTAAGAAGTACTGTAGCTGGAAACGCCGCCAGCTCTGTAATTCTTGGCTAACGAAACTGGGATGTTTTTGTATTTAAATGTTCGTTGACGGTGGCTCAAAGAGAGAAAGAAAGCAGTTACAAGGAGCGTAGGAATAGAAAAATATTGCTGTTTCCATACTCCAGAAGTAATTTAAGAAATGCATGAATAAATATGCAAATTCCATAGATAATTTGAATAAATGTTGAGATGTTAGTGTGATTCATAAAGACTGTATTAGCTCATTCAATTTCCTGCAGGAATATACATAGTTTTGTTTATGTTATTTAAATGCTTTTTTATTTTTATTTTGTGTGTGTACAGTAAACTAAGAGAATCCCCTCCTGAAGGCTCCATCTTCTTGAAACTCCAAAAAGACTGTCTCCAAAAATGTTGAGGAATATCCCAGAAAGGAAAGAAGGACATTCAATCTACTGCTATTGGCATTGGTGCCACAGAATCTGAACTTTTCGCTGGCTGCTGAAGATGGGGATGGAGAGCTTACATATAGGAATGTAAGTCACTGCTGACAACCGTGACTGAAACCACCAACCAAACTATAAACTAACGACACTAACGTCATTGTAATAGTAATAGTGATTCATAAAGACTGTATTAGCTCATTCAATTTCCTGCAGGAATATACATAGTTTTGTTTATGTTATTTAAATGCTTTTTTATTTTTATTTTGTGTGTGTACAGTAAACTAAGAGAATCCCCTCCTGAAGGCTCCATCTTCTTGAAACTCCAAAAAGACTGTCTCCAAAAATGTTGAGGAATATCCCAGAAAGGAAAGAAGGACATTCAATCTACTGCTATTGGCATTGGTGCCACAGAATCTGAACTTTTCGCTGGCTGCTGAAGATGGGGATGGAGAGCTTACATATAGGAATGTAAGTCACTGCTGACAACCGTGACTGAAACCACCAACCAAACTATAAACTAACGACACTAACGTCATTGTAATAGTAATAGTAATAATGAAGACCTGTTTTAACTAATTATTCATTAAGAATTGACCTTAAAATTAAAAGTTCAAACAAGTGTCCCTGACTGCTACATTTTTCGTTGTGGGACAACATAATATTCTAAACGGTTCACCAAAATAAACAATAGTGATAGCAATTAATTATTAAAATATTCCCGACTCTGGAGGGAGACGAGAAACTTGAAATCTGCTAACACAACACAAGGGACACCACTCTGACACTTCCTGCAGTTTACAAATGACTTCCTCCTGCTGAGCTGTCAAACCGTTCTCTGGTCTTAAACGTACAAACCCGAGTTAGTCAAGTTAGTGATTGTTCTGTTTCTGTTCCTCCTACAGTTTTGTTTTTAGATTTTGCTTTTAAAATGTAGTAAATTTGCTTTTGAACTTCTGCATTGTACCATTAAGGGGAGGGAAAGAGATAGATACCTGGATAGTTTGGCAGTATGTAAAAAAAAAAAGGGCTCTCCTTGCACCTTTGTTGGACGCAAGCTGGACCGCTTAGTGGGAGTTCTCTCCCTTGGCCGCATTCAAAACAACGAGCGGAAAAGTCACGAATCAAATGACATACTTACCTATCAACATCCGGGTGCGTGTAGGGTTGCGTATAGTTGCGTGTAGGGTTGCGTAGTCATCATACGGTTGCGTCTAGGGTTACCTATCATCATACGGTTGCGTGTAGGGCTGCATAGGGTGTCTATCATCATCATACGGTTATGTGTAGGGTTGCGTAGGGTGTGGGTTAGGGATAGGGTTAGGGGTAGGGTTAGATGTGAAAATGGTGACGTAGAACTTCCAAATACTGGGCGACAATCTGATGCTTGTGGGAGTGGCGCCACTGGAAGTGTGCCAAATATGACGGCAATAGCGCGCGGCTGGTGCCCAATCGGTGCCAAATTGTCCGTGTCAGTAGCATCCACCGTCTGTCGACTGTTTGGGTGTGTATGTGACTGTGCGCGATTATAGGGAACTACGGCGTCAAAATTGTCACATCTAACGCTAAACCTAACCTTACCCCTAACCGTAACCCTAACCCTAACCCTACCCCTAACGCTACCCCTAACCGTAACCCTAACGCTACCCCTAATCCTAACCCTACCCCTAACCCCAATCCTACCGGTAACCCTAACCCTACCCCTAACCACGCAAAATTATCGGTCATTAAAGCATACAGATCGGCAAAACACCCACACAAAAAAAACAGATTTCCCCGCAGCGTCAAAAGAAAAACCCAGATCTGGGGAACACAACCAAGCATTGGCAGCCCTGATGTCGACCTCACTGTCTTGTTTGTCTTATCGTGACTTTTTCCGCTCGTTGTTTTCATTACGGCCAAGGGAGAGAACTCTCACTAAGCCGACCTAAGCCGTCCAGCTTGCGCCCAAAGGTGCAAGGAGAGCCAAAAAAGGGGGGGGGGGCAAGAGCTCTGACCTGATCCGCCACACAAATAATTCTTGTTATCGTTATCGTTTGAGATTTCGAAACACAGCCTCCTACGCTATCGCCAGGACGTGCGGATGATGATGATTTTATAATTCACAAATACAGCTGTTGATTTATTTACAGTGTGCGTGTGTGTTTTGCTACTTACCACTTTTTTTTTTTTAAGGTGCGGGTATGAACACGAAGTGTCTGTTACTGTTACAATAGCTGAACAAAAGAATGCATATTAAAGGTGCAGGTCCTGCATTAAAAAAGTTAGTTACCTTTACAATTTAAAGTTTATTGCCTGCCTGGCATATTTCACTATGTCTTGCCAGGTAGATATGCATAATCGTTAAATACAATGTAATAAATAAATGGTTCCTTTTTTACACTTTACAACTGAAGTAGAAATTCAACCATTCTCAAAAGCAACTGCCTTTTTTACCAGGGCAAGCTCATGTTCACTACCATGTCTTTCTGTGTCCATAGTTCTGGACAGAAGTAATGAATCCGTGATATTTTTTTTTTCAGATACATCCTGCTTTCTTTTAACTTTGGAATGGCAACATGGATGTGAGGTGACCAGACCAAGGAAGTGCATTTTCCACATTCGACAAAAATATCAGTCATCAGCTCAAGAGATCTAACTATCCTTATGAAGGCTTTTATACCATTTGACTTACTGTTTCTTCTTTGCCTTGCAACATCAGCCTTGGGCATAGAGGTAAATACTACAGCAGGACAAATCTTTATGTATGGTCAGTTCTTGTTGGTTTAAAAGCTGAGATGTAAATTGTTAGTGAATGTGATGCAGTTTTGTTCAATAATTTATTTAGCTGCTCATGATGAAATATTGCTCAGAGAAAATCTACTTCTTTGTTGACCAGCTGTAAGCTCCTGAAAATCCTGGTTGTTCATCCATTTTTACTTTAGCTATGTGCCAGGGCTTGAGTTTTGCGTGTACATCCGTTTTACTGGCTTATTTGTGTGCAGCTGGTTGTTCCTTGCCACTCGTGCAGATGCGCTCCGTCTTCAAAGGAAACCTTCAATTAGTCGACTGCTGCGACATGCTTGTTGGGTAGGCATTGGGTCTGTTCTTCTTTTCTCCGCATTGGGACCTCGGAACCCACATGAGGACAGTGAAGATTATCAGCTTCATTGCACTGGGTTATCCTGATTAGCTCGGTCTCACTCCACAGAACTGCTAACCAGCTGCTGATAGCGTACCATGAAGCACGAACAATGGTTTTGCAACGATCACCAAGGGATCTCCATAAAAACTGCACTCATGGACCCAAATGAAATGAACCCATGACCTACAAAACACAAGGATTGACAACAGCTGCAAAGATCCCCCTTTCCCCTTTCAATTCTGCATTTTAATGATAGGTAGTGCTGAGGAAAAAGAAAGTGTTCTAAATGTTCATCGTTGGGTAGCCGCTCCTCTGTAGAACATTGCTGCTATCCCTGACCATCAGAAGCAGCTTGGTCCCTTCTAGTTCTCCTGTCTCATGGCAAGGAGGAATATATGGGAGGAAGAGAATGACATATGTATATATAATCAGTTTGCTACAGGAGTAGTTAGCGTCTACACCTTAAGACATTTGCTGTGGGAGACGGAACATCTGTGGGTATGCCCTGGATGCTGGGATATTCATTCTTACATCACTAACCTGTCTCGTGTATTTTCATGACCGGTGGTGTCTCCAGGGTCCCATATCCACCTTTATGCTGGTTGGTGAGCTCCACCGTGATGGTTGGCTACACTGCACTCACAGATATATGTTGGTTGTGTCTCCTTTACAGTCGGCACCTGTGGACACACAACTTTTTTTCTTTCTTAACAGGACATTGCAGATCTAACCACAACATTTATTGGCTGTTTGTGATTTTACAAGACAATTTTACATTCACTAGTTTTGACACTGCTTTCTGAGCGGTTGGTTCTCGATACTACTGTTGAAACTAACGCAAGGCAAAATCATCTGCAACTGGGTTTGAACCTGGCATCTCTGCATTAAGAAGCGTGTTCACAACACCTAAGCCACAAGAGAGTAATACTGTCTGAAAACAACGAGAGTGATTTTTTTATTTAAATCATGGGTTATGACCCCGTTCTGTGCCTCTCCTCAGTGAAGGTCGCAACACTGCACCCATTACTGCCTTTGAAAATATAACGTGGCGAGACTCGTACTACTGTCTGAAAACTACAAGAACATTTTTTGTTTATAAACTATGGACATTGAACTTTAGTACTTCGGGGATTTTGAAATTGCTAAGCACACTCACTAATCCCTAAGCCGCAGAGCCGCACTTGATGACCCATACAGCATATAATAGGCTATTTCTCTCCAACATGTGATGCCATTTATAAGTTCGATTTTCAAATTTTGTTAGAATAACATTATTATTTGTTACTTTCACTTGTTTAAATTTCTTCTTCTAGTTACGTTATAACACCTGTTTGCTCATCATTGAAATACAAAACTGATAACAGAATATGTTGGATTTGCTTCTGTGTTTTTTTGTCTTCTTCTTCAAGGACAGAATGTAAAACACACCTGCGTGCCCAGTTCTAAACCCTTTAAAAATTAATTTTTTTCATTCATTCTTCTTCTTGTTACTTTTTTTCCTGAATGTCTCAGGTATTGGGGGAGATAAAAGGTCTTTTTCTGCTCTTCTGGCCACTTCAACTATAGACGCAGTACAGCTGTAGTGTTTGGCAGATTTATCATTTCACCTTGTTCTTAGTCTACCTTGGGCTCTGCATCCCACTCAATTTTTTGTTTTTAGTCTTGTATATAAAGGTAAATAGGTAAAGTCGGGAGATGTGAACCAATGCACACGGTTATAAACCATAAGTGCTCTAACACCAATACTGACAGCTGATAAGAAATTGTTCGCCTGTGTCGTCGTCCGCACAAATCTCCGTAGCTACAGCGACATTCCTCCATTTACCCCAGTGTTGACTTTGGTACCCATTACCTAGAGGCTGGGTGAACCCCGGGTCCACCCTGGCTTCGAACACCGGCCCTGGGCTGCAGCGAGTCGCAGCTGGATTTGAAAGCGAGTCTCCTATCAACTGCGCTAGCGCGGCTTCTAGTCTTGTATATTATAGCCACAGGTTGTTTTCTCTATGTGGGTAGACCATTATATTTGCTGTCTTTGTGTGTAATTTAGTATAGGTTCTGTGGTGACTTGTCCTCTTGTGATCACATTTCTGATTGTATCTCCTGTGGTCACTTCCTTATCTTTTCTCAGACATTCCATTTTTCTGATAACTAATTTTCATTCTGTGTAGCTGACAAAGATTTCTTATTATTTTTTTTAAACAAATTGACATGCATTTTCTGACTGCAGAATAAAAAACGCAGTCTACGATGGATAACAAAGGATGCAGCTCTCAGCTACCTAACCAGAGACATGTCAAATTTGGAAGAGTTCAAGGCCTTACTTCGGCCACTAGTAGTGGAGAGAGTGTCTGGCACTGCAGGAAACAAGGCTGTGCAAGAGGTTCCAGATTGTTTTTTTTTTAAACTTTATAATTCATCTTCACTTTTTCTGTTTGTTACCCTGTTTTCCCAAAATAAGACTGGGTCTTAAATTAATTTGTTTCTTCAAAAGAGTATGCTATGGTTTATTCTCAAATGATTTTTTTTTCTGATACAAAAAATCTACATTTATTAATGAAGGATTCTGCAGTTATTCAAATACAGCCATGTCATCTTCTGCAACATTGTTATTAAATACTAATTCACAAATTCCGGGCTGAATTTCTTGGTGACCCCATTTCCTGTAGAACCATTGGCCCCAGTCTGTCATTTCCAGCAAAAAAGCTTTCCACAAATGAGCATTTATTGTCCACATAACCTACCCATAGTGCATTGGTAACACAGCTGACAGTGATTTTATCCCATGAATTCTTCACCCAAGTCATGACCTCCTGCAAACTAGGCTTCACAAAGTTTTTATACTGATGTCTCGCCATTCAGCGACAAGTCTCTCATTCCAGCTGGGGATCTTAAATAGGGATTATTTTTTGGAGAAGGTTTTATATTAAAAGCATCCTGAAAAATCGTGCTAGTGTGCGTTTTTGGGGTAGGTTTTAATTTCGGGAAACACAGTAATAGGTAAGATAGTAAAGGACCCTTTTCATGCCCATAGGACATCAGGTTTATGTAATAATATTTCTTTCTTGTAACCATCTTCATAGAATAAAAAAAAGTAAACAGGTAAAGAATCTTTTTCATGCCGTAGACTCATATAGTGCAAGACCTACATTTGTTTAAACCAATCCGTTTTCAGTGGATGATGTGTAAATATTACGCAGGCCACCTTTACTTTCCAGGAAATTTTCTGGTACCAGTTTTTCTTGACTATAGTATTCTTCTTCTTTTGCCTTTCTATCCCCCAATGGAGCATCGGCCCTCAACCAACTCACGCCAAGCCATGGTTGGTTGGTTTTTGTGGCTCTGGTTTTTACAGGATGATGTAGCTAACTTCAAGCCCAACCCTGACTATAGTACACTTGTGTAATTATCTTTATAGAATATAATGAAGTTATTTTATCCTAATAAAATATAGTATAGTGCGTAATTTTTAAGACCAGGGATGGAGAACTTTTTCTGTACCAATGGCCACTTGGATATTTATAACATCATTGACAGGCCATACACAATTATCAACTTAAAAGTGATCTTACAATGTGTTGTTGAACATTTTACTAACTTACCTTTGAAGTCACATCTAGAAACTGCTTCTTTTAGATGAGATGTTTAATGTTAGCACTAAATGTAATATTTGTGTTGTTTTCAAAGATTGTTTCTTATAGTTCATGCAGTGGGCAATTGATAGTCATTTCTGTCCACAACATTCTGTCTCGTGTACTGCTTTCAGTCAGTTCCGACACAGACGATGTTCCCTGCCATAGTGTCAGACTGTCGTCTTCTACCTATCTTCCCCTCCAACTTTCCAACCATCACGATGTGCTTTAGTTTTTCCAACCCATTGTTAAATTCCATTAAAAACTTAACTGATATTTTAGCCACCCTGTGAGAATGAACCCAATGAAATCAGCAGTCACAGTGTGCAGCATGAAAATGGAAACAACAAGAGGCAGAGGAAGACCTAGAAGAAGAGAAATTGAAGGAGTCACTGCAGCAACCAAGCGTAGGCTAGCTCAGCTATGTATCATTTGTTAAACTGTGACCTCTAGCGGTACGAAGTAAATACTGACCAAAAAAAAGAAAGAAGAAGAATAAAAACTAGATTTATTTAAATTTAAATCCTGCCTATGGTTGCTTTGGCAGGGCTAGACCAAAGAGCCTTTGTGCATCCCATAGGACTTGCAGTCTTGGCCTCCATCCCGTTATGTCCTGTAGATTCCTTTCAGAATCAATTAGAACTCAGGCCAGCACCTTTGGCTTCCCTCAGCAGCATTTATTTTATGGTTTCTCTTGGATGTCCTCATTTCCTCACTTTTAGAAAATATTGCAGTTGTTTAATTTTCTTCATTTGAAAATAATACAGTTGTTTTATTATCCTCAGCATATCAAGTCATACCTCAGTAACTGGCATGTGGAAACTGACACATTTAATGATACTACCCCATATGGAGTAAAGGAATTCACAAACATCATAGCCACCTTTGACCCCAGTAAATCAACGAAGATTGTCCTGGCGTGTCATTTTGACTCCAAATATTTTCCTCGGGGAAAGTAAGTGTGAAGCTTTCAAAGTTGTTTTTCATTGTGAGGGTCTTAGCTGTTAGCAAGTTTGTAATTTCACATTAACTGTTGAGTGTAATAGAGTAGTTGCCATCTAACCCAATTAGTTGTTGAAAAGTTCAAGGTGAAGATTGTCTGCTAGCATTACTGCTCTAGTGGGGAGTCTCTGTGATGAAGAGGTCAGGCCGTTTGCCTTGCACTCTGAAGGTTGGGGTTTGTTTAACGGCTGCGTTGATCGATTCATGAGTGCAGTTTTTACTGAGATACCTGGGGATTGTTGCTGGAGCTAGGGTATTCCTATTTTGTTTGTGTGATGCTCTGTGCAGGTGGCTAGCTGTTCTGCGGAGAGAGACAGAGCCATATGGGATCAAACCTGGTGCAGTGAAGTCGATGCTCTTGACTTTAACCTTAACATTTTAACTGCTCTAGTGTTATGAGTTGTGGTTTCAGCTACTGTTTTATGAAATGTGTTGAACAGTCTGGTTTTTAAAAGCATGTTATGTCTTTTAATGTGGTCAAAGTATTTCGGTTATCTCTTTTTTATTCCTTCAGTAATTCTCTTTTCATGTGAAGTCTTTCCAGAACCTCTGTATTGGACTGTTTTTGTTTCCATGAAATAGACCTCTTATGTACTCTTATGACTTTATTCTTTATTTCAACTCCTGCAGCCTTTCCCAGACACTTCATTTACGTAGCTACTAATTTTCTTTTCTTGTTATCTTAGTATTTGCTTTTCTTTACATGCTAGAACAGAAGAGGTATTACAAAGAAAAATTAACAAAACCTGGAAGAGAAGTTCTTGTACTTCTTTATTCATTTCTTTTGGGAACATGAAAATATCATTTACTGCCGCTGCTTTTTAATTCTGAAAAATAGTGCCTTGGCACTGTGTTTATTTCCTTTACACATCATTATACATTGATATAGAACTGTTATTACAATAGTAATGTGTAATGAGATACATGAATATGATCACAATAGGTTTGTGGCTGCATCTGACTCTGCTGTGCCCTGTGGTGTTTTGTTAGAGACAGCTAGACAGCTGCAGTGTTTGCTAGAAAAGGGACCAAAGGAGAAAAGTTCTGTAAGTTTTATAATTTGAACATGTCTTAGAAAATATTTAGACAGTTTTTAACCCTATATCATCAGTACTGTGCCAAGGTCAGTTAAATGCTAAATCCTTGTTTTAAACAAAAATTACATTTGAACACCAAGATCTCAATAAAAAAATTGTATAGTTGCTGAAAAAATCATACTTCCTTTCGGCTTGTTTTGAGTAGTAGTTCAAACGTGCGCCTTTGACATATTGTAAAGTGACAAATAAAGGCCTTGAAGATACACTCAGGTGAAAAAAAAAAAGTTGCACTAGGTAAAGTTATTTTGGCACAGTGCCAGTAAATTGTCTAAGTAGCAACCCTGCTTTGTAGCTAGTGCCTGCCAGTACTGTAGCCATGAGTTGAATCCTGTGTAGGGGCAGGATTTTAGTCTGTGACAACCATGTTTCCCTGAAATTAATACTGGGTCCAGTATTAATATTTATTAATTTTTGCTAAAATGACAATGCACTGGGGCTTTTTTTTTTTTTTTTTTGTGGTCTTTTTTTTTTTTTTTATATAATTTTTTTTTTTTTTAATCAGATACAAAAATCTTCATTTATTCATTTACAACATTCTACATTTGTTCAAATACAGTCGTGTCATCTTCTTCTGGAGCTTCATCAGAGCTCTCCAAATCTTGAATTCCGGCCTAAATTTATGTTCATTATCAAATGCAGTGGTGACTCTGACCGGTTCTTTAGCAGCAAGTCTCCTTCTAACTGATGATCTTAACAAGGGCTGATGTTTAGGGTGGGACATATTGAAAGCATCCTGAAAAAAAACTTCCTCCCCACCACCCCCATGTGCTGTTCAATCAAAGAAAATATGGGTCTAGTAATATCTAAAGACAGAATCACTAATGCAGAGGTTGGGGGGAGAGGGAGGGGGGAATTAATTTCTGTCAGTCGGGGGGGGGGGGGGGGGGGGGGAATCTGGCGCTTGAAGGAACAGGTAGTGAGAAAACATGATAATAATGTATCTCATCATCATCATCGTAAGGTAGCAGGTCCTTTGCAGACTGTCACTCTCATCACAGCCTACCTGAAAGAAACTCAAGTCTTTCACCAGCTTTCCTACCCAGAGTATCACTTATATCCTGTACCCATCTTCATACTGGTCGGTCCCTGCCCCTCCTTCCTGGCAACATGTCTTCTGCTACTATACTTTCTAGACTGCCGTGGTACTTGATAGGATTAAAATATTTTAATTTCTAAAACAAGATGTTGTTTACTACTCTTTGATGTTCAGATCTAGGTTTTCAGCTTTTTTTTTTTCTTCTTGGTTCATGAATAGTATAACTAGAATGTTCTTATCTGGAACCCACGGGGAACAAGAAATAAAAGGAGACCCAAAACAGGGGCAGAAGAGAATTACAGGGATTGACAATATGGAAAGGACATGTGATGTGCTGTTTGATATGGCAACAGATGTGACAGTTTAGCATGATTTGTTTGAGGAACTGCAAAAAATAAAAATCATACTTAGGATGACCGCTCTTGTGCCAGTCCATCACAGATCAGTGGTAGTGTATCTCATATCTCATTCTGCTTTTAGTAGTGAATTACTGGCTGGAGACTTTCGTTCAAGCGTGGAAGATAGATGGGCTGAGCCTGAACACAGCAGTTGGAGTCTCTGATGCAGCTGTGGCTGACAGTTTCATTTTCATTCCAGGTGTTAAAGATCATTTGCAATTGTAAAAGGAAATGAACAAGCTGATAGGCTTGCACGTAAGGCCTGTGGAGAGGGCAAATGAGCAATGGACCAGGCTGATATACTGAATAATGTACGAGACGTTTGTAAGAACAAAGTAATGACTTTAAATTTGCAACCATGACCAGACTGTGAGAACAGCAAGTGAAAAGGGGGAGGCCACACAGGAAACTGTGCAGGAAGCCATAGAGAAATAATAAACCAAACGAAACTAGTGTTGTCAGCTTCTACAATCAGTTGGATTCACTGAGGAGGGGATCTGAACACTTATAAACTGATTTGTTTCATGTGCATTAAGGTTATCTTTCTGCTGACATACTAACTGTTATTTCATGCCCATGTAGCAGTTTCTGTACTATTGCTAGAGAATGAAAACTTATAGACAGCCATCTTGAAAACATTGTTTGGTCCCCTTGCAGGCAAGTGACTTGACTCTACAACTGCTGTTCTTAGACGGAGAGGAGGCTTTCAAGGACTGGACTGCCACAGATTCCATTTATGGGTCACGACATCTTGCCAAACGATGGGCAGCGGAGCCTGACCCTGCTAATAGCTCCCTGACAAGAATTAAATCAATAGTATGTAAAACATGTATTTTAATATTAGTAAATGTCATGGTGTAAAAATATCTTTTTTTGTCAGTATTTTTCATATTTAATGTAGGTGATGGTGTTGTGAGATGGCATGGCACAGCACTTTCTACCATGTCTTACATTGCAACAATTGTTAACAACAGCTAAAACTAAGAAACAATCAAGATTTAGTGGGGGGGGGGGGTTTTTTTTTTAATTTATCTATTGTTTAGAAGTAGTGAGTATATATTTTAAAGACACATAAGGAGTCTGTACACTTCTAAACTCGGAAGAGGATCTAAGGCTATTAGTCATCTTAGATATGCATGAAATCAGTCAGTCAATCATTCAATCAATCCTGTGCTTTTTCCACAAGGTTGGCTGCAGTGAATCTCCACCACTCTCTTGTCTCCTGTCACGGCCGTATACTCTCTAAGACTGCTGGTTGTCCATCACTTCTTCTACTTTGTTCACCGGCTGTGAACTCCGGGGAAAAGTGCTTGATATTCGTCCATAAAAACTTTGGCTTTTGGCCAGGGCCTGAGTTTTGCGTGTGCATCCATTTTACTGGCTTATTTGTGTGCATTTGATTGTTCCTTGCCACTCAGGCAGATACACCCTGACTTTAAAGGTAGCTCCCAATTAGTCGACTCTTACGACATGCTTTTTTTGGGTAGGCAGTGTGTCTGTTCTTGTACAATGGGACCCCAGGATTCACACAGGGAGTCCATCACATGATGTTGTCCTTCCACTTGTATCACTGTCTACCTCTTGCTCTCTTGCCTTGAAATTGTCTCTCCAGTATGGTAAGGATGAAATAATAGGCCCAGTATACAGGCTAACAGATCATATAATGTAATCTGTGTTGGTATTGACTTCTAGAAAGATCAACGCCATGTGTGATTTTCAGGGCCCTATTCTGGGGAAGAAAAATCTAAGAACATGCAAAACTCAAGTTCTGGAGCAGGACCAAAGTCCAGAAATGGACGAACAACCAATGCTTTTAATGGAGTTTACAGTCGGTGAACCATCGGAGTTTACAGTTGGTGAACATTGAGAAGAAATTTTTTTAAGGGCAAGTGAAATATTTCTGCCACATTAAAAGATATAGCACTCATTTAAGAAAAACCAAACTGGAGGGAAAAATTGAAGGCAAGAGGTCAACAGCAGTACAGGTGGGAGGACACCATGAAGAGATGTCTGATGAACACCAGTCTGACCGAGTGTGCATCCAAGAGAAAATAATGAAAGTGTTGGAAATCCATAACAGCAAACCCTAGTTTTAGAGGTGTCACCTGACTGGTTGGTAAAAGATCAAATTTACTCATGAAGGGGTCAAGCTGTGAAGATTGTGGGTTTGTATCAAGCTGTGTTGCTCAGTTCACGAGAGCAGTTTTTACAGATACCCCTGGGGATCGTCCAAGAGCTGCAGTGTTCATGTTTTGTGTGACGCTGTCAGCAGCCAGCTAGGGGTTCTACAGAGAGAGGCAGAGCCATGTGAGATAAAAACCCAATGCTGTAAAGACGATCCTTTTAACTTTAACCTTCAACATTTTAGAATATAAATAACATGCAGTTATTCTAAATAGATGTTGAGCTGAGTTGAGTCAAGAATTGACATCACAGCACTTGGGGCATTCCCATGTGTGCTCCGTCCTCATCTTCAGCAGCCAGCGCAGAGTTCCAGTACTGATAGTACTGGTCACAATCTTGTTATATGTCTGTCTTGCCTTTCCTCTGAGTGTAGTGAGCCGGCCAAACCCTCTGGTTATACCCAGGTGCCTCATTCTCTACAGGCCATAATAATCTTCTTTCTCTACTGATTCTGTTGCTTGTTCACACAGGGCCTTGACCACTTCTGCCTTGTCATATATCAGTTCACCCCCAGTGGTGCAGATCCAGTCAATCTGTCTGTCTGTTCATTACCCACTACGCCCGCATGGCCTGGAGAAAAGATTCTAAATGGATGTGTAAGAAAGCAATAAAGCACAGGATTAATTTTCCAGCATTAAATTGATCGGCAGTTACAAGTTTTGATGGGTTTTTTAAAATGATATTTTGTTAAAGCAGGTCATAAGTGTAACATGATAAAAAAATATATTGTCAGCGTGAATAAACTTGATATGACACTAATCTCTACTGTGTTGTCCACTTCACAGCGTGAATTTATTCTTTTAGACCTGATCGGCACTAGTGACACAACGATTCCTCAGCATTTCACAAGTACATCGGAGTTGTATGAGAATTTAGTTAAAGCAGGTGATGTGTGTGTGTGTGGCCATGCTTTTGTGTACTAAATGGTAGTATGTCTTTATAAGTTTTTTAGTAATAAAGTTGAATTAAAAAAAAGTAAAGGACTTTTTTTTTGTATATGTCATTTAAGAAAATCGCAAAGGACCGGTGTTAGGTCAAGCCAGTAGTCTCCAGCCGGGGGGGGGGGGGGGGGGGGGGGGGGGGGGGGGGGGGGGAGGGGGGGGGGGGGGGAGGGGGGGGGGGGGGGGGGGGGGGGGGGGGGGGGGGGGGGGGGGGGTCAAGATTTTGGAAGTGAGTGCAGATGTACTTGTTAAATGAATACTTAACTTTTGTTTTAGTTTAATAATAAATAAAATATATTTTAAAACTATGTATTAAACAAAAACACACAAAAACAGAAACAAGGACATGTTTGTTTTTATGAGTAGTTTGTACATATAACGTTAAAAATCTAATTAATATGATAACATGCACACTTAATTATAGGTTAAGAACACATTGCGTTTAAAATGTATCTCTGTACTCTTTGTTTTGCTTGCCGCGGAATCTATTATCCTCTTTTTTATCATATTTTGTTGTGTGTGGGGGGGGGGGGGGGGGGGGGGGGGGTCTTGCCAAATATTCAAAAGGTGGGAAGCATGGGGGTCTTGCAGTATACTCTATGGAGGGGGTCTTGCGGTATTGCCATATAATTGGGGGGGGGGAGGGGGGTGACTTGACGTATACTTAGGAAGGCGTGCTGGGGGGTGGGGGGGGTCTTGCAGTATACTCAAGGGGGCCGCGACCTGAAAAAGGTTGGAGACCCCTGTACTAGAGTCATACTTTTATAGACCATTTGATACTGAATGGGTGATGCCATCAATATCATGCCGGCCACCTTTACTTCCTATGTCATCACCTGGTACCTATTTTCGGCTGGGTCGACCTGGGAGCCAAAGTGAATTTTTTTTTTAAATTCTGCCCTAAGCGGATTCAAACCCAAGTCATTCTGATCTCAAATAAGCATCTAGTCACTAGGCTAACGGATAGCATGAAGTGTGGATAAAAACGAGAAAGGGTAGCCACAACAAAGGGTAGCCACAAGAATGGATAGTTGGCATAACAGAAGCATCAGTACAACAACTGACAATACAAATTAGTGCCCGTTGACACTATTGCATCCGCAGATGTGTTTGTAGTGAGGTTTGAAAAGGCTGGGTGGTGTTTCATCTCAATGGAGATTGTTTAAAGAAAGGGAGCCTTTTTTCCCCTTTTTCATACAGTACTTATTGAATACTTTCCCCCTTTTTCATACAGTACTTATTGAATACTTTTCCCCTTTTTCATACAGTACTTATTGAATACTTTTCCCCTTTTTCAGGCAGTACTTTGGATTACTTTTCCCCTTTTTCATACAGTACTTATTGAATACTTTTCCCCTTTTTCATACAGTACTTATTGAATACTTTTCCCCTTTTTCAGGCAGTACTTTGGATTACTTTTCCCCTTTTTCAGGCAGTACTTTGGATTACTTTTCCCCTTTTTCATACAGTACTTATTGAATACTTTTCCCCTTTTTCAGGCAGTACTTTTGATTACTTTTTCCCTTTTTCATACAGTACTTATTGAATACTTTTCCCCTTTTTCAGGCAGTACTTTTGATTACTTTCCCCCTTTTTCAGGCAGTACTTTTGATTACTTTTCCCCTTTTTCCGGCAGTACTTTTGATTACTTTTTCCCTTTTTCATACAGTACTTATTGAATACTTTTCCCCTTTTTCAGGCAGTACTTTTGATTACTTTTTCCCTTTTTCATACAGTACTTATTGAATACTTTTCCCCTTTTTCAGGCAGTACTTTTGATTACTTTTTCCCTTTTTCATTCAGTACTTATTGAATACTTTTCCCCTTTTTCAGGCAGTACTTTGGATTACTTTTTCCCTTTTTCATACAGTACTTATTGAATACTTTTCCCCTTTTTCAGGCAGTACTTTTGATTACTTTCTCCCTTTTTCGGACAGTGCTTATTGGTTACTTTTTCCCATTTTCTGACAGTACTTATTGATTACTGCTTCCTGCTTTCAGACAATACTAATTAAAAAATGTGTTTCCCATTTTCAGAGAATTACTTACGTTCCAAAGGTTACCTAACTGGGAAGCATCTAGGACCAGTTTTCAATGGTCAGAAAAGCTGGGGTGGTATAGAGGATGATCACATGCCTTTTCTTAATCAAGGTACATGTTCTGTTCAGTAATACACCTAGAGATGCCATGTTGGTCTGCTGTACTGTGCAGTTTTTCGGGAATTGAATCCTAATAGAGAGGAGGTTTTTTTCCCATCTAGTTTATATTTCTTTGAGATGGACCGAGCTTCATCAATACCAACAAAGCTTCTAGGAAATTTGTTGTAGAAGAAAGCTGATCTTTACATTTTGCAATGTCATAACCTAGTTATGCGAGGGTGTATCACTTCATATCTCAGTGTAATTGTTTCAGTTTGTGTGTGTTGTTCAACCCCATCAGGACCGTACAGCGAACGACCAACACCCGGTTACATAAAGTGCCAACATTCGGATGGGGATCACCCGGGCACAAGTCCCAGAAACCCCTTTCAATCTGCAGGGGTTATATTAGTGCCCCTGACAACAGCCCGGATCAAGCTTTCAAATAATGAAAAATTGCGTCCCACAGGGGGATGGGTGTTTTTGTATCAGTTCATACCTCATCTGCCATCTTTCAAGTGTCTTTTATTATACATTTTAGGGCACCATAAAATGTTATGATATTTATAACGTATGTTAGAATATATACCATCAATTTTTCCACCAATCGAGGGCAGTGAGGAAGAGTCTTGTCTGCTCATATCATATTGTCATCACCTTATTATTCGAGGGTGTATCACTTTATACCTCAGCAGCAATATCTGCCAGGTATCACATAAATCTTCTAAAACACCTTAAGATATCATTTCATTGATAATCATTCTAAATAGATGTTCTATTTTCCACCTGACCAAGGACAATATTGTATTTTCTGGATGAACGTTTAGAACAAGATAGTACACAAAAACACATTTTTTTTAAAAGAGAGAGAGAGATTGATGACAATGAACACAGAATGACCTTGTGCCTGGCTATGAGCTTCTCACCCCACCATATATACAGTGCAGACCTGATAAGGAGAACTCGCTAGGGATTCAAGAAATAATTCTTGTCATCAGAAATTTTTCTTATCCAGAAATGATAACCATACAGTAGTTACGGTGGATAAACAAATTGTTCATCACAGAAGAAATTCGCCACATCAGAGATTTCCTTAAGCAGTCTGCACTGTATATGGTGTAACGAGTGGCAATGTAACATGTGGTGTTACAATTTGGCCACATCGTAGATGAATGTTGCTTGTTTGGATGACATGCTTCGCTTCCTGGATGTTGATTATAATGTAATCAGTCTCATTATTGAATTGCCAGACTCTCTTTGTCTCTCTCTGGTTCTCTCTGTGTCTCTCTCTGTCTTTCTCTGTGTCCCTCTGTCTCTCTAACCCTGTTTCTCTGTCTCTCTTTGTGTATCTCCCTGTCTCTCTCTTTCTTTGTCTCTGTCTCTCTCTGTATGTATGTGTGTGTGTGAGAGAGAGATTAAAGAAAAATAAATTGATGTATTATATTTTCAGTGCCTTTAATACTTTTGTTTATCTTTTTATTTGACGACAGGAGTGGATGTGGTCCACCTGATTTCTTCTCCATTTCCTAGTGTGTGGCATCAACTTACAGACGACTGGGATCACTTAGACTTTAACCTTATCGATGACTTCAGCCGCATCTTTCGGCTTTTTATCAGCAACCTCTTGCACTTACAACCTGAGAGCAGGGGTTGTCGTAAGAAGTAAGCATTATACTTCATCTCACCGATTCATAAAAGTGGCAAATTCTCGTTGTTTTACATTCTTTGCATTCACCGGCTGTAAACTCTGGTGGAAAGTTCTGGTTGTTCGTCCACTTCTGGACTGCAGTCCTGTTTCAGAACCTGAGTGTTGCGTGTGCATCCGTTTGACAGATCTGACTAATTTGTATGGAGACTGGTGGTTCCTTGCCTCTCAGGCAGATGCACTCCGACTTCGAAGGAAGTCTGTTTTACATTATTTTCATATTTATCTTGGTAATTATTTTTAGTTGTTAAAACGTGTTGAATTTGTTGAATTGTTAACGATAAATCAGAGAAAAATATATTTTAAGGCTAACTAATCTTTGAAGTGCCTTTTACTGTTGATTAAGCATATTTAATAATCTGTTCAGTGTATATTTGTTTTATTAACGATAAAGATCTCACGATGTTTTGTCTTCCTGTGTTTATTTCATTGCACAGAAACATGAAAAATATTTTTTTTTTGGGTCAGATTTGTATGCCAAAAACTATTTAACAATTATTATAGCGTACGTGCTGTTGTACAAATATTTTTCATTTTCTTTAACTCTTTCTCCTGTAAAAATCTGTAAAAAATAACTTTTTTCAGAATTTCTCAAAAAGAAACATATCCGTATAATTTCCCTGAAACTCTGCTTTAAGAAACTATAGGAAGAGAAGCAGAAGAAATTTGAGTTCTTTTATAAAATCCAGGGGGGCTGGTCCACTGGACCTCCATCATAATATGCAAGTCTTCTTAGATCTTGTTCTATGAATTATTTCCCTTAACCTTATTGCATTAACAATTGCATTAACCATAATCGTTATTTGCATATTTCCCATGTGAATTCTATGGCACTAGCCATGGGAGTCTTCAATCCTCAGGCTTAGATTCCCCCCTCCCCAAACCGCACACCGCAAAAGTGGTACATACAGGCATTAGTAACAGTTTTGGCAGTTTCCCATGTGTTAATAATGCATATATATTGTTGTTGCTTAAGATTAGCCTTATAACAAGCCTGTGAGTGAAAATAATGTATGGAAGAGGAAAGATAAGATCGGCCAAATGTTAGAAGGACCTGTGTGCCCAAATCTAAAGCCTTTAAAAATAAATCTTGCTTGTTCATTCTCAACAGTAATGTTTGTTTTCTTCTTCAGTGTTGTATGCCTTTGGCTTATTGTGCATGACAAACAGCAGTGCACTTTGCTGACAAATTTCACTTATGGGACTTTGGCATAGTGCCAGTAATATAACCCCTTCTTTTCTATAAAGTTTTCAGGCTTACCCACACAGGAAAGCAGGTTATACGCTACAGGTGCCCTAATTATAACTTCCTTGGTGGTGGGCTTGCCCTGTGGGGCGGGTCAGCCACCAGCACTGAGACTTTTTTTAGACTTAGTCTTACAGTGTCAAACCTTCAGGTCCTGTCGGTCCACCATCCAGAATTAGATCTGATTTTAATGTGTCAGACTTTTCAGTAACAACCCAGAGAGGACAAACACCATGCCCACACTTACTCTAGAAAGTTTTCACTTGATGAAATATTTACATCAGAATAGCTTCTTCTTCATTCATGTTCAGTGACTATAAACTGCAGTGGAAAGTTCTGGTTGTTCGTCCACTTCTGGGCCTTAATCTTGTTCCAGAAATTGGGTTTTGCATGCACATCCGTTTTATAGGTTTGGCTTATTTGTTTGCTGACTTGATTCCTTGCCTTTCAGGTAAATGCAATCTGACTTCGAAATAAAACCATAATTAGTCAACTCTCACTTTTGTTTCCCCTTGCAATGGGGCTCCGAACCCACGCAGGGAATCAGGATAGCTAAAAACACCTTAACCTTAACACCTTAACTCATTCAGTAGCAGAAGATTTTGTTATAAATATTTCACTGGCTAATAGACACAATGAAAATAGCATGAGTGTATTGCTTTTAAAGATACAACTTATACTGTGCTGTATGCTAGCATATCTAGCCAGATTTCTTTTGCATGCTCAAACCAAATGTAAAACATATAATGATACACCGTTCGTTGTTTGATATGCACTGATTATAACTGATCACACACTGCACGTTGGTTGGGACAGAAAGAATTAAGAGAGGAGATAAAGATACAGCTGTAACAGTGTGGTTTAGTGCTGTGTTCCTCCTCAGCCTTCTATACACATGGCCAACCAAAGCAGGCCACATTATTTTTTAGCCCACCTGATAGCTAATAAAATGCAGAAACAAAACCAGATTTTTTAGTTTTAAGCTAATGCGACATCTGCTGCCAACAGATGTTAGAAAATCTGATAAACATGGCTGGAGCAGGGGTTCTGACAGAGAAGAGCTATAATAACGTCAGTTCGATTTTGTTGTTGTTGTTGTTGTTGCTGACATGGCTAAGAAAGTTTTTTCATGCAGACAAGATTTTGAAAAGATGACAAACAATTTGAAAGCTCTGTAAACTCAGAGATGGATATTATTTTTCGAGAGATATCCAAAACTCAGACAGTGACTGAATTTTGTGCCTCAGCACAAGAGTAACATTAGTAGACAACTCTGTCAGCTTTTTGTCTTCAGGAAATGTTTGGCAGCCCACCCGGACTTTTGCCTGGCCCACCGCCCACAGGTTGAAGAATACTTGTTTAATATACATGTTGACATTACATGAGGCTTTCAGAATAATGTCTAATTTCAGTACAATCAAAAAATTGCATGATGAATTGCTTGGTAGTGAGTGAGTTAAGACACAGGTGACACACAGGTGTCTTGTGATATTAATGAATTTATATTTGTGTAACATTACAATGTATTAGTTTCCATTACATTCTCTTTGATATTATTTCCATCCTGGTTCACTTCATTCAATTTTTCTGTGTTTTTTCCCAGCAGGGCCCATCCAGAGCTGTAACTGCTAGTACTTTACTTAAGACAAATTCAAATGTAGTCACTTGTAAAGTAATGAGTTTCTGTACTGATGCTACTGTTGTTGTTGTTGTTAATGACAAAGCTTTTTTTTAAAGTAAGTGGTTCCCATACACTACAGTAGATCATAGTTGTACAACTTTGAGTTTTTGTTCTTCTAAGTTTGCCTTTTGAAGGGTGGTTGGCAGCTTGTGTTATGATTTACAGCTAGGCTGTGATATCTGCACCTTTAGCCCAACACATCCCATTTCAGCAAACCCCTAATTTGTCCATTTTATGACATGCTTGTTAGGGAAGCAGTGGGTTTCTTCTTTACTTTTTTCCCCTCCCAAAATGGGGCCCTAGAACCCACAGTGGGACATTAACTCTTTGAGTCCAAGGGGGTTTAGCATCACAGGCCCAAGGGTAGTCAAAAGAGACATGAAATCGGCGCCTCATGCGTTCATTGGGCTTGTAGGTAGGAACCTGTTAACTTATGCTGCGTTTCTTGGGACTCAAAGAGTTAAGAGTTAGAAGTGTGATAGAACAATTTCTGGGCAATCAAGAATTTTGGGACATATGCAAAAATTGGCATGCACAGTTTTAAGATGTATGTCGAATTTGGAATGCTTCATTTGAAATTTTGTCTTTGTTCATAATAATTGAATTGCATTCTTACAACTGTTGGTCTTATCCTTACAAAGTTTGACCGAATGAATGTAAAGTTTTGTGTAATGCATGAAAATTGTTGTCTAATACGGATAATCATATTCAGACGTTTTGAAATGGCACAAGTTTGCTGTAATACAAAGTTTGGCCTAATGTTTACACAGTTTTGCATATTACATATAAGGGGTTGCATAGCGCTTATAAAGTCAACTCTTGCAACATGCTTTTGGTCAGCAGTGGGTATATTCTTGTTTTCCCCATAATGGGGCTCCAGAAACCACATGGGGGAAATATGGAAAAGATTTGGTATTGCTATTTAATGATATGACAAATAACAGATGTATGCATTAGTCCATATTTTTTATGCATTGGGTCAGTCTGTGTATTCAAGCAAGTTTTTGCCATGCCAGAAAGGTTTGGGAACCACTGAATTGAGCAAATAACGTAAATAATAAATTGTTCAGATCTGGAATTATTATATAAAGCTAAAGCTAGTTTATGATACGGTAAATACAGATGTATGCTTTAGGCAAAATTTTGTGAGCATTAGGCAAAATTTTGTATTGAGCCAAAATGTGTATTGAAGCTTGTTTGTACCATGCCAAAAAAGTTTGGGAACCATTAAACTGGGTAAATGTCATAAATAATATTGCTCAGGTCTGGTTAGTTAGCTGCATATCCTTTACAGGACGTTGCAGAACCAACCCCAGCTTTCCTTTTTGGCTGTTGTGATTTAGGAAAATTTAACATTCAGTAGTTTGCCGTTGCCCCTGAACGGTCAGCTCTCGGTACCACTGTCGAAACCATTGCAACACAAATCATCTGCAGCTGGTATCGAACCCGGCACCCTGGCATTACAAAGCACGTTCGCAGCGCCAAAGCCACAGAGCTCAGGTCTGGAATGGAAATATTGTATATAGGTAAAGCTAGTTTATTATATGTTAAAAACAAATAGTAAAGAACCCTTTTTGTGCCTTGAGGTGCATTGATCATATGGTTCTAGTTTCAGATACCACATAGATTAGTTATCATTAATCATATAGTTCTAGTTTCAGTTACCACATAGATTAGTTATCATTAATCATATAGTTCTAGTTGCAGTTACCACATAGATTAGTTATCATTAATCATATAGTTCTAGTTTCATTTACCATATAGATTACTTATCATTGATCATATGGTTCTAGTTTCAGTTACCACATAGATTAGTTATCATTAATCATATAGTTCTAGTTTCAGTTACCACATAGATTAGTTATCATTAATCATATAGTTCTAGTTTCAGTTACCACATAGATAAGTTATCATTAATCATATAGTTCTAGTTTCAGTTACCACATAGATAACTTATCATTGATCATATGGTTCTAGTTTCATTTACCATATAGATTACTTATCATTGATCATATAGTTCTAGTTTCAGTTACC